GATGGCGTGTGCAATGGGGAGCTCTGGCTCAGGGCAGCACCTCCAGCGACGGGGACAGGCAGAGACACACAGGGGGGGCCCGGGGGGGAAGGTGCGGGAGAACCAGGAAAGGCAAAGAGAAACACACCCCAAATGGTGAACGGCATCGGGAAATCCCGCTGGGAGCTCAGGAGAGGAGAGGGAAGCAGTTTGTGTAACCTTGGAGACGGAGACGAGGAGCCTGAAGAGGAGGGAGCGCGGTGCCAGGCGGCACGGCAGCGGTGTGGGCACCAGGATGGGCAGTACCACAGAAGGGGTTGGCAAGGAGGGAGCTCCCAGAGCTGCCCTGCAATGAGGGTGAGAAGGACATAGCCCACAGAGGGTCCAGAGGAGCATGAAGGGGGGCTGTGGAGAACCCATTTAGTGGATAGAGAGCAGAGGGTGAGGCAGAGGAGATAGCGGGAGAAGAAAATTGAGGGTGGGACAATAAAGGGAGCGGAGAGGAGAAAAGAGGAGAGATCAGATATGAAACACGGCAGAGCAAGGACTAAAGCTGTAAAGAGGCAGCACCAGCCCTCCAGCCACCACGACAGCCAGAACTGTGTCTTGTTAAGCACTGCATCTGATTTGATAAATCCCAGCCATCACCGCACAGCTTCTCCAGAGGCAGCGATGGCTGCAGGGCCCTCAGAACCTGGGCTGACTTGTTCTTGCCTTACTTTCCATCCAGCCCATCCCGTTCATTCTTTGTTCTGCTTGGCAGAAACCCCTTTGCATAAACCACCAGATTCTCTCCTGCCCGATCACAAACCCAGCGAGGGACCCCTTCACTGAGTCACTCCTAGGGGCCCCAGCCACAGCGCGCCCGCTGCTGATGCACACACCGGAGAGACCAAGGGCTGAGGGGGCTAGAAGACAGCGCACGCCTGGTTGGGTCCATCCATCACTTCTGGGAGAGATCCATGTTCCCCTGTACTCACTCAGGGCAGAGCTATTTCAAAAGAATGCTTAAAAATACCCAACCCACAAGACTAGGGACACTCTGGGAGCAAGCAGTGGCCTTGCCATGCCAGGCTAATGAAGGCTGTGCAGCGAGGCAGTGGCTGGTCCCCCCCCACAAGCACCAGGGCAGCACGAGTGATGGCACCAGGGCAGGTGACAGCGCTGGGAACAGGCTCCAGGAGCAGTGTCACCTCCTGCCTCATACCCGTGAGCAGGTCTGATGGTGGCCATGTCTCCTCCTGGGCTCTGGAGCTCCAGCCACACCACCTCTGCAAGGGACAGCTCAGTTAACAGAGGGCATCAAACAGCCCGCAATTAGCTCTCAATCTTAATTATGCACAACACTGATGAGCTCACCAACTTAATCTAATTAGTCTGCAGAGCTCAATGGCCTGGCCCTTTTTCTCAAATAATGTTCTATGTAACACTATTATCCCTTTGGAGATGACCCCTTCGCTGATGCGACTTGTCAGCAGGGCACAGCGCTGCCACAGCCTCCCATGGCACACACACACCGGGCACCGGCACCCCCATTGCCTCTTGTCCCCAGGGATGCCAGGCTCAGGGAGCAGCCCCATGCATCCACTCTGCCCTTGTAAGGGCCCTCTGGGCTTGGCAGGGTTGAGATTCAAGCCATTGTCCCCCCGCCTTTAACAAGGCCCCCAAAATGCCATCGGCTGCTGGCGTGGGGAGCCCCCGATGCTGCAGCCATGGCCTCCTGCGCCCAGGCAGTGCTTCCAGGAAGCTGCCCTCGCCCGCTCCCTGAGCAGGAATCAATGAAATCCCCTAAAAGCTCATAACTCGGAGGTAATTATAAGAAGCATCAATTACCCGGCGATGCGGGTTTCATGAATTCAGTGCATTTGCATAGTGATCAATTCAGGCAGGTCCTCTCCGGGTCCCTGGAGGAAGTTAGGACATTGTTCTGCGCGCTATTGATTTTACAATGTAAAACCAAAGCGCGCTCTCCTCTTATTCAGAGCTGCTCATTCAGCCATATTAACTTTCAGATCATTTATTTTTGTATGTCTTTCAACTCTGTTTGTTGCTATCACACAAATGCAGGGTATTACATTGTAGAGAATAATTGAATCAATACAGTCATGGTACTCTGGGTCTCACAGGCTCGCAGGAGTGTGCGAGCTGGCAGGAGCCCATGAGCAGCCTGAGAAGGGGGTTTTAACCTTTCCTGTTATTAAAACACTTGCCTGGCTATATATTAACTTTCTGCATCCTGTGGCTGCTGTTGTTTCACCTGTATTGGTGCAGGAGACGCCAGCACCAAGATGAATATGCAGAGAGGCCAATTGGGTGCTCTCCAAGCATCCCCGCGTCCTTAGAGGGATGTGGTGGGGCTCCATCTCAGCTCTCCTTTCCTCTCTGTCCTTCTTGGTGGCCACAAGCAAACGGGGGAGAGAGGAAGAAGCCCTTTCAAATGAAAAGCTGCCACATAAAGGAAGAATCCTCCTTCAGATTCGAGCGGCTCTGAAAAGAGACAGGTTTTAATTCTGCTTCCCCTCCCACTGGGATATTAGACAGCTAAATAGCAGCGCGCCTGTTTCCTTCAGATAACCGGCTCCCAAAGAGCACCGTAATTGTCCCCGGCCTCTCTCCGGCGCCGCACAGAGCAGGTCATTTACAGCCCCGCACCCGCAGCCAAACACAAACCCATTTCCAAGGGAGATTTCTATTCTTATCTGGGCTCTGCAAGAGGGGCGCGAGCGGCCCCTGTTAATTGCGGCTTCGATGGCTGTTGGAGGAGGCTTCTAATCAGCGCCGCAAAAGGCTGGGGCTCTGCATCGCGCCTGTACCCATCGCACCGGGCACTGCCGGGCTCAGGGAGCAGCACCCACATAAAGAAGGGAAGATGCCCATGAACACCCCAGGGTGATGGAAGGTGCCCCGGAGCAGGCTGCCCTCAACACTGGACCTGTGGTACCCAGCGGTGCCGCAGGTGCTCCCCAGTGATGCAGCGTCTTGTAAGCACGCTGGCTCGTCTGCTGCAATATCCTCCAGCAAATCAAGCAGCCCCTTCTTGGGATGTTTTCAATCTGTTTTATGTTGATTTTAATTAAAGAATTTGAAACTGAACAAACAGTTCGTAGCAGGTGGCCACACAAGTGTGAAATAAGCAAACTGCTCTATCTGCCACAAACTCCACCAGTAAATTCCTTCAAATTAATCCCAGCCTCCGAGAGGCTGCGACTCCGTCTAAGTGCTGTGCAAGCTGGCCTCGGCCCTTCTCCAAATATTTACCCTCATCCCAGCACCAGAAGTGGGATGTCGACTACCTGCATCAGCAGGGCTGCTGCCCCCTTACCTTTGCTCCATCCCATGACGGAAGGAGGGTGGATTTCCTGCTGGGAATAACTGCACCCCAGATTTGGGAGCAGCTCCTGCCACTGGCATTAACCCTACACCCATCCTTATCCTCATCCTCCTCCGGGTATCACATCTCACCCATGCATCCCTGCTCCGCTTGAGGACCGTCCCCTGCATAACCTTGACAGTACCGAGGCAGTGGAAGGGCCCTTGTCCACGTAACAGGCTCTGCATACTGATGGTCCCTGGGGAAGACAGAACCACAGATGCCCACAAGCTTTTCTTCTTGCAAGGCTGAGACAGAGACAACTCAGGGAGGGAGAAAAAGCACAAAGAGGAAACAAAGGCACGCGCTCCTCTTCATCTCACACCTTGCCCTCTGTCAGGAATCCTACCAGCATCTTTAGGACGGGGACCTTGTGCCCTCGCATGATGCCCATGTTCTCCCTTGATGCTCGAGACCCCCTTGGCCCAGTACGTGCTGATGCCAACAGCCCGAAGCCCTCTGCTTCCTGTGCAGGGAGGCTTTGGGGCTCTCATCCTTTCCCCTCCTCCCCTGTCCCTCCAGCCTCAGCATGAAGGGAGCAGGCAAAGGTGAGGAGCACTCACCTGGGTGCTGTGGGAAGTTGGCAGCTACCACCGCATCCCAGCCCCGGAGCCATGGAGCAGGAGGTGATCAGCTCCCTGCTCCCTCCTTTCAGCAGGAGACATAACTGGCCACCAGCTCCTTTTCCCCCTGCAGCATTCCCAGCATGTTCATTCCATTTCTCCTGCTTGCCTCCCCCCCCAGTGACCCCAGCCAGGACACCAGAGCCATGCTCCCCGTCAGCTGGTGCCCTCGGGAGCATCACTACAACACGTTCTGCTTTCCTGGGATTACCCTCGGGTTTCCTTCTCCTCCCCTCCATAAATATGGATGCACAGCTGCTGCCGGGAAGAGTCAATGCAAACAAAAAGGGGCAGGCTGCGAGCCCCGTGCTTCCCTCCTGGGCTGCTTCCATCCGGGATTCAGGCGGGTTGGAGGTGGGGAGGCGGAGCAGGATTGTTCTCCCCGAGCACCATGCTCAGGTGTGTGCAGACATGAAACAAAACAACACTAACATAGGCATGGGGAAGAGCCCAGCATGTACCAGGGAAGCAGGCAGCCACCCTGCGCCCAGGTCTGGGAGGAGGCATCGAGATGAAACAGCTTTAACACCTTCCCCAAAGGCCTCATCCAGTGCCTCATCCCAACAGCTCCTCCTGCCCTTTAAAGGCAAGGATATGCTCTACTCCATACATTAATCTCCTCATCACCAAATTAATTTCCATCTCAGTTACAGCATGTTCAGACTCTATTAGTAAATCGTGTCCTAGCTGCTTAGCAACTTTTGTTGTAAGAATCCTATTAGATCACGTTTCAAACCGGCAGAGATGGAAGAGCTATTATCTTAATAAGTTAAACATTAAAGGCACTACGGTGGAGACAGGATTGCTCCCGCTGCTCACAGCCGTGCACAGCCTGGTACACAGAGCACGGCAGGGACCCCAACCCGCGCCCCGAGCATCCCATCACACCCAGGCAGGGCCGCAGTGTGGCACGGAGCTGCTGCGCTCCTCCGGGCTGGTTACGGCAGTGACACACGGGGTGAGCTGTGTCGTGGCTGGATGCACACATATGCTGATAAGGAAGAATAATAACTTGTCAAAGATATATATGATATGTGTTTTCTTTGCAGACAGAATATATATTGGGATAATTCATCAACGGACTCGCCTGGCACTGGCCAGAACAGAGAAAGAATCACAGTAAGAAGCAGTCAAGGCAGAACCCCCCCTTGGCTTCTTATTGTACCAAGCCATAAGCCCAGCTCAACGGGGGTAAAGCAAAGCGGCTTCCCTCCAGCCCCAGTGGAAACCTGCCTGCAAGGAGCAAGTGCTTGGCCCTATTTCTATATGCTACAAACAGGGGTGAGTGTTGAGAGGAAGGTCCTGGGCAGCCCCAAGGAAAGAGTGGAGCAGAGAAGGGGCAGGAGGTGCCACCAGGACTATTCCCATGCACAGCCCCATCGCATGGCCCTGTGCAGAGCTGCAAGCCAAGGACCCGCTCCCGAAGCAGTAAATGGGGATCAATGTTCTGGATAATTTTATGATGCAGAAACACGCAGCCTAATTCCATCTTCAGCGAAGGGAACAAATGCATCGCTGCTTGCTCCCTTCTTCTTTCTTCCCCTCCTTCCGCCTGCGTTCGATGCCGCTCCATGTGGCAACATCAAACGGTCTCAGAATATTTTAGCTCCTGTAAAATATTTATATTCCAAAGCAAGGAAGGAAATTGGTCTCTTCCGAGCCATGTAAACACATCCCTCCTTCCAGCTGGATCCTGGCAGCGGAGGAGCCACACACCTGCACGCCGCTGCTCCGGGTACCACAGCCGAGCATCACCGGGATGGCAAGGACCAAGGGTCCAGCACTGGAGGAGCAAGGGGAGGCCGAGGCACCCCTGCCTCCGTCCAACTGGAGATGAATTGAGCACTGCCATTAAAATGTCACCAGGCAAATTATTAAGTGAAGGTAAACCACTTCCGCGCCTCAAAAGCAAAGGCAATCAGTCCCACGCATGTCCCCCTAGGAAATTATGTGGAGTAATTAATCAAAAGGCTAATGAGAAATGTGTTTTCTTCCCCAGCTTAACACCGCATCATATTCTTATTAGCCAAGGTTATTACAATAGTAATCATGCATGCTCCGAGTTCAGATTGGGTTTTTTTGCTCCACTGCCACCAATTTAGAAAGCCATTAATGGGAAAGATAAACTCCGACACACAAAGCAGCCCTTTGTGTCTGTGCACCCGCCACCATCTGTGTGCTGCCACCCAATTACAGCCACAAGTGCTGGCCACGGTGGGACCTGCAGCCACACGGTGCATGGAGCCCGTTCCCGGGGTGGGAATGAAGTCCTGGACAACAGGAGAAGCTGTGGATGTGCAGACACGGGAAGCACATGGTCTGTGAGTGCTGCGGTTCTCGCTGTGTCAGCACATCTGGCCCCACTGTACAGATGCTGGAAGTGGGACCTGCGTTGTTCCGTGGATCTGGCTGTAAGTGGGTGATGTTTTGGGAGCGATGGGTCCCCCCTGCACCATCTGCCCATCCCACAGCCCCAAAGTGCACAGTCAGCAGCACGGTGAAGGGAAAAGCATCCCTGCGTGCTATTCAGCATTAAATAACCCAGCCCCCTACAGAGAGAGGGGAGAAGAATGAGTCTGACAAAAACTACAAAGATTTCCTATGCCAAGTTAAAAATGCATTGACCTGATTAGCTGGCTGGAGGGGTGCTGAGCCAGAGCGGAGCAGGGAAACCCAGGCTCACAGCAACAGCAGAGCACAGAGGACTTCAGTGCAGGAGGGATCTCGCACCTCCCCTTCACAGCTCCGCCTTGGGGCTCAATGTGTGAGAGGCAAAGGGTTGGAGCCCCACTCCTGCCCACCCAGGGGATGCCACTGATGCTCTGCACTGCATTGCTTGTCCCTCTGCCTCCCTGGGACGCCGCTGGAGAAGGTAGCACGAGCTCTGCAGGATGTCTGGCAGCTCCCCTTTGATGTGTGGATTAATGAGAACTGACACCGCTGGAGCGGAGCCTTCAGAAGCCCAAAGGCAGGGCCTGGGGCGAGACTGGAGGGGACAACGCGCTCTGTGCGCTCCCTTTGATTGCTCCGTGCTTAGCCCCAACGAGAGGCGAGGCAGCGGCGTGGGGCTGGAGCCGTGGCTCTGCTTGGAGCTGGCTGGCTTCAGCTTGTGCTGTGGCACCCCTGAGAGCCCCGGCGGGTCCCACGGAGCTGCAGCACTGCGGATGGCTCTGCCAAGGCACCCCTGGCACATCATGCAAGCAGCAGCATCCCAGCAAGAGGCAGGGCCTGAGGCACTGGGACACCCAGTGCTGCTTCCATGCTTGTGGCTGGCTCCCTCCTATTGCTGCCTAACCATGGGGCTCACCTGAGTGGCGCCGGCTGGGAGAAGGATGCAGCGTCCCCATGTCCCCTGCCTGGGACAGGGCTCTTCTTCTCTAGGTTGAAGACATCATAGCACTTGAGCAGGATGGATCCGACACAGCGCTGGCCCTGCTCTGCTCGATTGAGCACACACGGAAAGAAACAACAGCATCACCATCAAAGTGCTCCAAGGAGAAGCTGATCCAAAGTCCTTCCTAATCTGTTATTGGAATAACCTCCTCTGCTCACAATGAGCAGGACAAGGAAGGCCGCATCACGAGCGGCAGCCAAGAGGTTCTCTTCCCCACCTTGCAGTTGCAGTGGGGGTCCCTGCTGCAGCTTGTGCTCTCTGCACCTGCAGTCAATGTCCCCATCGGAAAGGGGTCCTTGGGGGACCACAGTGGGGTGTTTGCCCCTGCACCCACCACCCAAAGCGGTGGCACTGCAGAGCCTTGGGTGCCTGCAGCTCCGCAGCCCCTCTCTGAGCCCCTCTCTGAGCCCTTAAAGAAGAAATCTATTAGCTGGTAATTACCTGCAGGCTGGAACACTCCAGTTTTATTACGGCGATAAAGCACTCCACAATTATCATCTGTGATTCCTGCTGTAGGGTGTTTACTCTTAGAGCAACACCTGATTTATGGCTGCAGCAGCCCGGAGCTGAGATGCCAGGCAGGCAGAGGTCCTGCACAGGCACTGCCCAGGCTGCTTGACTGATGGAGTTACCACTTCTGAAGTGTCTCCAAACTAAATATGGATGCACATCTGCCTCCGCTTAGGTGTAACAAATGGTTAGAGACTGGGTTAAATTACCCCAGAACTGGGTCCATACCAGCTACCCCGATTGTGGCCTGGGGGACCTATCATGGCCTGCAAAAGGAAATGCTGCAGACTTAACTTTTCACCAGTGTTGTGCAGATGAAGTCCTCCACAGCCTTCTCATGGAGAGGATGAGCAGCCACTCCCCAGGAGCCCCTTCTCCATGCACAGGGACCCGGCCCTGACCCTGAGGCAGTTGCAGGACCCATGGGACACAGGGAAACCGAGGCCCAGGGAGCTTCCCATGCCCCACGTGCGCAGCAGTACCCACACCTTGAGCCCCATTCCTCAGTGCCCGGCACTAATCACCAGCTAACACATCTCAACCATGTTTATCTCCATCCAGGCTGCTTTTCAATTTGATTATTTATCTCCCATTTAGCCTTTGACAGATCAAAGGCTCAGCGGAGGGGAAGCAGAGCCGGGCCGCGCATGGAAATGAGCCTTGATACATAATTAATTAACATAAAACAGTTTCATTAGGAGGTGGTGTTACGTTCCAGTTTTTCTTCAACATTTAAGCTGTGTTAGGAGCAGGAGGGAAAAGGCAGCTCTGGGGAACCCTGGGCCTGGCATGGCCCATGCCAGTGGCCACGCTCAGCTCCCGCATCCTCTCTGGGATGGACCGGAGCGCATCCCCTCTTCCCTAATCGCCTGCAATGTCTCCTAGCCTTGATTATTAATCTGTTTTCAATTCTATTAAGAGATAGCCAGGAGAAAGAGTATCAATTTTAGATTAACAAGGTTATTAGCACTTAATTATGTGAGGTGCCTTTGTAATTGAAAAGGAAAAGAGGAAGCGCCATAAATATCCCCAGCCCCTGAGCTCCTGGGGGTTTGCGGGTGGCTCTTTATTCACGAGGCTCTGGAACCATAAATATTAAACATCTCGTGAAACAGATTACAAGGCAGAGAGAGGATGCCCTCTGGATATTCCGGCGTGGAATGCTCTTGCATTAACAAATATTCATTAACTGGGATCTGCAAAGTTATTTCCACCAAGACGCGGCAAATGAGCAGGAGAGAGAGGTTATTGGAAAAAAAGGGAGTCTAGAGTAAATATTATTAGTAATTTTTATCTCCGTGTGTCCCTAATTATGGAATAATTAGGGAAAGTGCACATATGCATATACAATCACTAACCTGTCACTCTTGGGATATTCATTCCAGCCCTGCAGCAGGATGGAGGCAGCGGGAGAAGCGATCCTCCTCCAAAATGAACTGGGGGCCCTCTGCCCCGAGGTACCCCACCACAGCCCCATCGCTGTGCTTCACGGGACACACACATCAGGCCCTTCTGAGTACCCATGACTGGGATTGCTGCTGGTTAGAGAGAAATTAAGGTGACAAATTAGGGGCTCTTTTTAATTACAAACTAAGAGGAGACCTCAGCAACAACAGCATGCGTTGTAAGAGCCCACTTTGCTGGAGCCATTAAACAAGGAGGTCAGAAGCTCTGTTGACTCTCACCAGGACAGGCAGAGCTGTCCGAAGCTCCGGCTGCGCCCAGCAGCCCTTCTCCATCCATCCCTCCATCCCTGCATCCACCCCTCCGGCCAGACCTGCAGGCAGGGTCCTGGGGTCCAGCGGCGTCACATACCCGCTTTAAGCTCTTAATCTGAACTAAACACATTACCCATGAGCTCATCAACAAAAATCTAATTATGCTGTGTGAGGCCAGGCTTAATTGCTTGTCCTTGACACGAATAATGCACCACGTAAGCCTATTAGCTGCTGTAAGCCTATTATTATTATTATCGTGTTCACTGTCAAAAGTACGGAACAGCGGAAGAGGGGAAACAGTGCTGTGCAATTAGCAGCAAATGCCAGACAAAGCAGCTCAGAGGGAGCAGGAGCCACCAGTCATTACTAGGTGCTTTTTGGGGCTGGTCAGGGGTGAAGCTGCACCGGGATGCTGGTGCCACCAGGGATGCGCCGAGAGACACAGCAGGGCTGCAGTATCCTGACTCCTCCACAGAGGAGCCCAGCCCCAAACCCACCTTCTCCATGGAGTTCCAACCCGATTCACCCCAAGCACTGCACAGCTCCAGTGCACGGTTTGCTGATCCCAGTAATGAAGCGATGGGGCTGCAGTATCCGGAGACGGCTCCCGCGCTCACAGCCTCCTCCCGCACTTATCACCACTCACAGGATGTTTACAATAATTTCTAATTTGTGCAATTATTAATCATTTCTCTATCTGCCTCATTTGCATAATAATTACTGTGCTCGGCGCCTGCCGTGACGGTGAATGACAGAGCTCCAAATTCAATTAAGATTCCTGTATGCAGGTTTTGTGCTTAAAGCTAATCACAGTGGCTGCTTGGTGCCAGAACCAGGGCAGCTGCCCCTCCACAAGCACCAATAAAGGGATCCACTTCCTGCGGCAGTTGCTGCATCTCCATCCCCCCTCTCATCCCAGAGCATTTCCCAGCAGCTCTGCTGCCAGCAGTGATCAGATGCATCTTCCACTTCTGCATCACCTAAGCTCTCCCATGCTCTTCTCGCGTAGAGAAAGAGCTTAAGAAAGTATCTGGTAAGAAACAAGTAAGAGACCTGCCCTACAAGAGCAGCACACTCACACCCAAGCAGGGCAGGCAGGAAGGCACAAGCTGTACCCAGGGATCACCTCTCCCACTAAGGTGAATTCAGGAAGTCCACAGTATTGTTTTACATCTCAGAAGCAGTGCCTCTTGGGGTGCCCTGCTCGGCTGGTGTCCTGCAGCACTGCAGTCACACACAGCCCTTGCACCAACAGACTGACCATCACTGACTCCCCTCGTCCCTCCTTGTGGAAGAAACACCACCAAAATCAAGTACCAAAAAAGCAAGCTGTTATTTCCGAGTGTACACACAGGTTCCAGGACTGCTAGAAAGGAAACACAGTGAATAAAAACCAGGGAACGAAGCCCCAAGACCCTCCAGCTCCAGGGAAAACTGCACGTTTGCTTCCACAGGAAACTGTCCCCACTAAAAGAGCGCTGGAAGAGACTGGAGAGGACCAGCTCTGCAGCAGCCACGTGTTCCAAATGCCTTCAGCATGAAGAACAACCTGAGATTTAGGACACCTGAAGACTTGTGAACCGCCCTCAGAGGACAAAGCATTTGGCATCAAACAAATAGAAAACAAATCCGTTTCTACAGTTTGTTAGAAGACAAACAAATGGCCCAGAAACCAGTGTATCACGGGGAGCACCAGCGCTCCCCGTGCACCTCCACCACTGCGCTGCCCCAAGTCCTCGCCCCTTAGGCTGATGGGGAAACCTTCTTTTGGCAGCTCTCCTCCATTCAGCCTCTCCTCCCGGAACAGGATCCAGTGGGACGCTTGGTCCAGGCGGAGTGAGCTGCTCCTCACAGCTCTGGCCAGGCAGCAGCCGGGAGTGGTGCTGTGCGTGGTCCTTCACCTGACCTACATGTCCTCAACGCTCCACTTGTAGGCGAGCTCCTGAACCGCCTTCTTGTTGGCTATCCTGGCAAAGCGCTGCTGCTCGAAGCCGTTGGACCTGCAAACACCACCGAGAACACCATGGGCTGCTGGGCAGAAGCTTCTCTGAAGCAATCAAACTTTGAGACATTCTGAGCTTTCTGCTACTTTTACTGTGGCTCGATCTGCAGTAGCATCTCTGAAGCTCTTCACACCTTAGCTGATAGTACCAGCCCTTACTATTGGCAACACCCTCATCAACTGGTAGCTGTGAATCTTTACACCAGGAACTGTTTGAGGCAAAGCTCACCCATGTTCACTGTTACTCTAACACAGGGCTGCATCAGGACACGTACCTGTCCACGCCGTCCCAGCGGTGCCCTGGCCATATGTTAAACCTGTTGAGTGGAGGTGCTGGTCCGTTGTACCGGGGCTTTTCTAGGAACACACAGAGCAATAGAGCCGTTTACTCCTTCAGTGCAACCACAGTCACATCATCATCACCCCAGAGGTACATCAAGCAGTGTGTGTACAGCCAGCTACAGCTCACAGAGGGAACTCCCAAAGGCACAATCAAATCGGACTCTCCCGATTTTTAAGTCACCAGATCCTGCTCTCCAAGCTAACAAATAGTAGTGACCATTACTGGCAACAAGGCAGTAGCAACAAACATTGGTGCTATACTCCATAAAAGTAGGCCTTGAGGACCAAGATGCGTTTAAACAGCAGCTGCATTTCTGTGCTGCCAGGGCCTTAAAGCAGAGATTGGTGTAACTCAGAATCAAACCTTTCTTCTCTTTGTTCTCTTTGGCCTTCCTTTTTTTGATGAACTCAGCCATGGGGTCTCCCTCCCTCTCCTGCTCTCTCAGCATTCGATCCAGATCCTGGTCATCAATGTAACGGGCCAACGGCTTCTGCATCTCTTTTATGGCATCTTCCACGTTCTGCTGCTGCTGCCTCCCCTGCGCCAGCCTGGAAACAAACACAGAACCAAGTCATCGCTCACTGGGAGTTGCTCTGTTTGAAGGACACATCACAGCCCTGAACTTCCACTGTGTGTGCACCATTCCGAATACACATTCGGCCAGAGGGAATAACTGAGGGGATCTCCAGGGCAGGTGGAACACGTGGTCTCCCAGACCCAGACTCAGAACACAGTGACACACCACTGCTGGAAGTGAGCCCAAAGAGCCCTGAGATGGTGCTGGGGGCTGTGCAGACCCTTACCCCTTTCCCCATCTGGCATACTGCTCATCCCTCTCGGACTTGGCTTCAGCTTTCTGCTGCTGCTCCAGCCGCTCCTGCGCCAGGTCCCTCCTGCGGCCCGACTTGTCTCGGAAGACGGTCTCAGTGTGTCGGGATTCCTCTGGATGGGACAGATGCCTCAAGTCACACATCTGGCAACACTTCCATGACTAACGGCCCCTCACTTGGGTATTTTAGCCCCTGACTCATTCCAGGCTCTGACAGACTGAGAGCAGGAAGCAGAAAGCGAGCGGGTGCTCGTGCAGTGTTTTACACCCCTACCTTCCAAGTGCTTGGTACTCCTCTCATGCTTCCTGAGCTCCTGCTGTTCCCTCCGCAGCACATCAGCTGACACCAGGCCAGCTTTGACCCCCGAAAGCATCGTGTTTGCCTGTAAATCAAACAGAAGTCACAGTTAGCGCTGGCTGAAGCTGTCCAGGATCCAGAGGTGCAACAAGAGGAATGTCTACCTTCTTGGGAGATCCCTTGGCGTCACGGTGGCGAGGCGGAGAGAGGTCCTGGGGGCTCCTGGAGCGGCGCTGCTCCTTCCCGGCTGGCAGAGCCCGTCGGGGAGGGGACAGATCCGAGTCTGAGGACTGGCTGTGGTTGTGTTTGAGAGGACCACGCTTCGGGGACCTGCTGTGTACATGGCCCAGCCTGCGCTCTGCATCAGGGGCGCTCCGGGGGCCTCTCCGTGGGGATGGGGAGCTGGAGGCCTGCCTCAGGCCCCTCTGAGGCGAGGGCACCTGCCTGGGCTGTGACGTGGCTGGAGAAGCACCTGCAGTAAAGACACACACTAACTGAAATCCCCAGAGGTAGGCAGAGTCAGGACCACAAAAGGACTAAAAATGGACGTACACGATGTCAACTCCTAGGAAAATCAGACCTCGAGATGACAAGCTATAGGGCAAAGACAGGTATGTGACAAGAGCCTGGGAATTCTCTGGATCCTTCTAAACACGTACTACCCAGAGACAGGGTTTAAACTCCAGTTGCCTTTTGGACATGCCTAAGCCTTAGCCAGTTAACTCTCATTAATTCTAGTCTGGCTGATGAAAACATAGAACTAACTGCACCAACAGAAATTACCATCTATCCACCACCATTCCATGCCTGCAGACTGCCAATTCCACGCCACTCATCCCTCAGGAGCACATGGACATGATCCCAGAGCAGGCAGGCAGCAAAGCACAGGACAGACAGGACAAACTCTTGCATACACTCACCTTTCGTTCTGCTCTGCTTTCTCAGGCTGGGTGACCCTGTCCTCCTCCTCCGGGGCGGTGAGGAATCCGAGTCAGAGCTGTACCTCTGCTTCCGTGGAGGGGACAGGTCTGGGGTGGCCTGGCGCTTCTGGCGCGATGAGGACTTGTCAGAGACACCGTGCCGGGGCTGAGGCTGCTCCCCTGGGGCCCTTCCTGACTGTGCCTTGTCTGTGGGCTTGCAGCTCCTCTTCCCTGCTGCTGAACTGCCCCTCTTTGGGGACACATCTGGGGAGTCGTGGTGCTGCCGCTGAGGAGGGGACAGGTCAGGGGAGTCGTGGCGCTTCCTTCGTGGTGGTGAGAGGTCAGGGGAGTCGTGGCGCTTCCTTCGTGGTGGTGAGAGATCAGGGGAGTCGTGGCGCTTCCTTCTTGGTGGTGAGAGATCAGGGGAGTCGTGGCGCTTCCTTCTTGGTGGTGAGAGGTCAGGGGAGTCGTGGCGCTTCCTTCTTGGTGGTGAGAAGTCAGGGGAGTCGTGGCGCTTCCTTCTTGGTGGTGAGAGGTCATGGGAGTCGTGGCGCTTCCTTCGTGGTGGTGAGAGATCAGGGGAGTCGTGGCGCTTCCTTCTTGGTGGTGAGAGGTCAGGGGAGTCGTGGCGCTTCCTTCGTGGTGGTGAGAGGTCAGGGGAGTCGTGGCGCTTCCTCCTTGGTGGTGAGAGATCAGGGGAGTCGTGGCGCTTCCTCCTTGGTGGTGAGAGATCAGGGGAGTCGTGGCGCTTCTTTCTTGGTGGTGAGAGGTCAGGGGAGTCGTGGTGCTGCTGCCTGGGAGGCAGGAGGCTGCAGGAGTTGTTCCTCTCCTGCCTGGGAGGGGACAGGTCAGGGGAGTCATGGCGCTTCCTCCTAGGTGGGGATGGGTCCGGGGAGCCGCTGTGCTTCCTCCTCGGTGGCGAGAGCTCGGGGGAGTCGTGGCGCTTCTTTCTGGGTGGGGATGGGTGCGGGGAGTCGTGGCGCTGGCGCCCGGGAGGCGGGAGGCTGCTGCAGCTGTTCCTGTTCTGCCCGGCGCGGGCCGGATCCGGGCCCACAGGCGCTCTGTCAGGGGAGTCGTGCCGCAGCTCCCTCGGCGGGGAGCCCTCCGGGGAGTCGTGGCGCTGCCGCCTGCCAGGGGAGGCAAAGGTGGGAAGCAGAGTGAGAGCTGTGTTTGGAAATGAAACCCAAGTGGGATCTGTAAAGCCAGCAGGAGGGATCAAGGGTGAAAACAAGAGAGCCTGGCTGCTGTGCAACCACAGAACAGAGAACGAGTTGGAGAACGGTTTCGGTTAGAAAGGACCTTAAAGCTCATTCAGCTCCAACCCCCTGCCATACTCAAGGACACTTTCCACTAGAGCAAGTTGCTCCAAGCCCCATCCAACATCCCACAGGTGCTTTCAGAAGCGGCATCACCCAGATCCCTGACACTGCCCCTGTGGCACAGCAGGTCCACCTATCACACCGAAACCCAAAGCGCTGCTGCCAGTCCCCCAGCACAGGAAAGGGAATCCCTGTCCCTGCCACTTCTCACACTTCACAGCAAAGCTCTTAGAAACTGCAGTACAAGCGAGGCACCACCAGGAAACGGGAGTTCACCCACAGAAGGATTCTCAGCTGGAGCCTGTACCTGAGGGCAGATTTGGCAGCGACTGAAACATCCGAGCTCTGCGAGTCTTCATTCTGGTCTAAAGGAAAACAACCAGAAAGACACCGTCACCAGGGAGCTGCAGAGCCCATGCTCTCGTCAGCATTCCAAGGATACAGATATCTTTGATCTGGTCTCACCTCCGAGGAGTTTCCATTTAGCATTTGTTCGGAATTCCTCCATAAGCTTCACCTCATCCGGACGCTCGTCAATAAATTCTGCCACCTGAACACAGAAGAGCAGCTTTGGAGAGGGAGGAAGAACAGCTTTCCTCCCTCTAGCACAAAGAACTACCCATAACAGCACTGAAAACTGCTGTGTGACCATCGTTTCACCTCCCTGAGCCTCTGCCCTCGAAGAACCTCCTTGCTGCCAGCATTCCCAGCAATGGCGCAGGTACCTTCCGCCCAGCCTCCAGAGCTGCTTTAAAGCCCCGAGAACCACTGTACGGACCCACCACATCCTTTGGGCACTTGTGAGACTGGATATCGGAAAAGAACGGGCTACTTCTGCCTGCACGGAGCTCATTCACCCCTTGCGCTTAGCGCAGGAAGACTCGTCCCTCCCTGCCGCAAACGCTCCCGAAGGAGGAGGCGACGAGGCGGCTTCCAAAGGGAGACACGGGCCGGACCCCCCCAGGAGCCCGAGTCAGTGCCGCCGCGTTCAGCCCCTCCCGCTCACCACAGGCATGTCCCCTTCGTCGTCCTCCTCCTCCTCCTCCTTCTCCTGGCCCGCAGCGATGCTGCTCCAGCTCACGTCGTCATCCACGATCCGCATCCTGCCAGCGGGAAAGGGGCGCCCGTTCGCCGTCAGCGAAGCGGGATCCGGGGGAGCGCCCAGGCCGCGGCTCGCCTCGGGCACCGCGGGAGGGCCGCGGCTGGCACCGGCCGCGCCGTCCCCTTGCCCCGCAACTCACCCGCCTCTGCCGGCGGCGCCAGGCGGCTTCTTCCTGCGGCGGCGGCGGGGCTGGGCGGGCGCGGCCGGGCCGCTCAGGTACCGCCGCAGGTACTCGGCCTTCGACAGCCCCTGCGCCGCCATCTTGGCGCCAGCCGGAAGTGAGGCCAGCACGCTGGGACGCGGCGCCGGAGGGGGCGTGGCCCGATGGGAGACGGGCGTGGTTTGGGGTGGTGGGCGGGGCTTAGGGGCGGTGGGCGGGGCCATCACGGACGGACACGGCGCCTCCTTCAACACGCGGCTTTATTTGGGGTCCCCAGGAGCCCACCGGGTCCACGAGTCCACGTCCAGCAGCGACCCCCGGCTGGGATAGGGGGGTCCCGGGCAGGGAGCGGGGCCCCGGCCCCGGCACGTCCCGTTCCATCGAGGTTCAGGGGTCCGGCTGCCGGCGCGAGGCTCCCTCTGACTCGTAGCCCTCCGTCTTCATGTCGTTGAGGCCCAGGTCTTCGTTCTGCTCAAAGCTCCGCTCGTAGCGCTCCACCCGGAGCTCCGGGTCCTCCTCCGGCGCGTACACGTTCTAGGGGGGAGGCGGGGGCTCCTTACACGCTCTGACCCCTCAGCAGCACCCACACAGGGGCTTCAGACGAGAGCCACCCCCCCTCAAGGGGTTCATGGTGTGAAGCAGACCACGTTGCCAGCCCCTGATTCCAGGGAACAGACACCATTCCCATCACCTTCCCTCAAAGGCACCGGCAGTTCCCTTTCCCTGCTCACTGCCAGACCCCCAAAGGGAAATAAAGCAATTCCACCCAAACTGCTTGCAACACGTCAAGGAGCCCATCTCCCACTGTACCTGAAGGTAGCTGTTGCCTGCAGGGTCATCCAGGATGAGGTGAGCCTTCACCTTTCCCTCTATGATCTGCGGAAAGACAGCATATCCAGGCATTAGTGCTCTTAACCCTTCACTCCTGGCACCAGGGCATTCCCAGCACACTCCAGCCATTCCTGGCACTGCCCTCAGTTAAACGACAGCAGTGGTTGGGTAAAGCATGGAAATTCAGGAGCGCGCTCACCTCCTGCAGCTTCCCAATGAACTCCTGCAGCTTCCCGGTCCTGCTGGGCGTAGAGCTGTCCCCCAGGGTGAAGGGGTTCCTCTCTACCTGGAAGAGCAGGAACACTCAGGGCAGTGTGAGACCCCAGCCCCCCGGAGGGGCTGAGCCCCCCAGCACCACTCACCAGGTCCCGGATGTCCTTCAGCAGCCCCTCCAGCGTGGTGAACTTTCCCCCCAGCGCTCCCATGCCCAGCTCGAACTCCAGCTCGGGGATCTCCACGCTGCACGTCTCCGACTGCAGAGGAAGAACCCAGTGAGCCCTGTGGGGCCACTGAGCCCCACGCACCAGCTCCAGGGGAGGGCAGGTATCCAGAGGCACCGCACCTTGAGGATGTCCCTTGTCATGTCAGAGGGGTCTGTGATCCGCAGGGTAATCCTGGTGCCCTGCGGCTCGATGGCACCTCCAGACTTCACCTACGAGCACCCACAGTCAGCTTCACAGAGCCCTATACTTAAATCACACCCCAATGCTTTAAGAAGGTTTACCCAGAAGCCCAGAGGCCGCTCCAAGCCCAGGGACAGTGCCTTAACCCAGGGGGCTGGAGCAGGCATGGACACAGCCAAACAGAGCTCTCCAGGACCCAGCTCTCCCCTTGGCCTGCTCAGGAAGGCAACTCAGACCCAGCCTGACCACACTGCATATGCATCCTGCACACAGCTCGTGTGTGCTCTACCTCTGCCCAGAAATAGCTCTGCCACCCCCAGCACAATGCTGGGGATTCATCCATGAATGCAGCCTGGAGGGCAGGGACCCTGGAAACACCTACCCATGGAAGGTGAGAAGCCCACTGCTCCCCAGCACACAGGGCAGGGGTTTGCACGCTCACCTCATTCGTCCTGTGCCCACAGGAGTCACAGTTTGTGGCCATGATGATCACCTCCTTGAAGTGCGGGATCTCTGGAGCAGACAGTCAAGGAAAACCCAAGGAAAGGGAAGTCTCAGAGATCCCAACAGCCTCAGTCCTTCCCGAGGCATGGCAGGAGCTCACCGGCAAGTGCTAAGCAGCACCGAGACACACTTGCACCCTGACAGGCTCCTTATGCAGCAGGGAGAGCACACATGGGACTCTCCCCTGTGCTGCCTCCATGCAGAGCCCCACAGCAGGCAATGATCCGTGCCCCCACTCCAAGGATACGCACTAACTTCATATTCGTGTTGGCTGGAGCGTTGCACTCTGGGCAGTTGGTGTTGAACTGCAGGACCTGGGGAGCAGGAGCATCAGAAAGGCCCATCCAGCCCAAAGCCACCAGCCCCACTGGCATGGGCACCACTGCAGTCACCCACCTCATTCCTCAGATCCTCTGCAGCATCATCTGGCTTCTCATCCAGCTCCTCTCCCTGCAGCAGGGGACAGGAGCAGTGTTAACTCCTGTTCCTTAACTCAGGGCCTCCCAGAGACAATGGGGGTGATGGCACAGCTTAAGCAGCTCCCGTTACCTCCAGCCCCAGCATGGCAGCCTGCTGGGGACTCCTCCTGTAGTGAGTGACTACCAGAGCATCGTCCTTCTGTGGCGCACGAGGGTTCTCCACAAAGCTGTTCCCTGAAGGGTCATCGATGATCTATGGGACAACAAAGCTTTAGGAACCCATCCCGTGCTTCCCCTGGGGGGAAAGGGGCTGCACCCCCAGGTACTCACAAAGGTGAAGGGGGAATGCACTTCTTTCAGCTGCTTTAGCTTCCCAATGAACTCATCTATTTTACTGGCCACCTCTTGGTCCGTTGCCTGCAAAGGAGGAGAGGTCCGAGACCAGTGCTGGGGCAGGCAGAGCTGCAGACACCAGCACAAAGCAGAGCACCCAGAACACTCCTCTACCAGCAGCGTGCAATGCAGAAGGTGAGCACGAGCACAGCCGAGGAGCCTCCCTTTCCACCACGTACCCTGCGGACAGGCTGGTCCTGCTCCAGGCCGGCCACAGCTCTGTCAATGAGCCCTTCAATGGTGGTAAGGACTTGAGAAGGAAAGAGAACACAAGCGAGGCACTGTTAAACACACCACAGAGTGCCACACGTAGGCCCCACTAAGCCTATGTGACCCAATGGACCCAGGGCAGGCCCTTCCCCACACAGCCCCCCTACCCACCTCCCTTCTGGGAGAAAGCAGGGATCTCAAAGTCCAGCTCTGGAATCCGAGCCGTGGCACAGTCAGTCTTCACCACCTCCCTGTTCATGTCCTGCACACGACAACAGTTGAGGAGCAGCGTTAGGATCCTGACAGGACCAGGACTGCCGGACCACACTGGGCTACACAGCACCTATGTTAGCCCCAGGCTTCAGCAGCCTCGATTCACCCAGGAACACACCGGGAACGTGCGCGTTGGGGGATGCAAACTCTCACTGCCCCACAAAGGACGTTAATGCTCCAAGGGTGCAGAAGGGGAACGCTTTATTGAGGTGCGGGGGGTGCGCGGCGCTGACCTGCCGGGAGGCGACGGCGAGGACGTAGCGCACGCCCTGCTCCTGGATGCGCCCCGCGGACTGGATCTCGGTGTTGGACCAGGAGCAGCTCCCGCAGGTGAAGGAGCTGACGATGACCTCTTTGAAGAACGGGATCCTGGTGAGCAGGAGCCGCGTCACCCCCTGCGGCACGACGGGGCTGCTGGGAACCCGGCTCCTGCCGACACCACCCAACACCCAACCCCTACGGGGGGGGGCCCTGAGCCCCGCTCTGCCTCCTGCAGCCCCCCCCTGCACCCCGCTTCCTGCACCATCCTCCCACACCCCCCTTCCTGCACCCCTCTCTCGCACCCCCCTTTCGCACTCCCCCCTGCACCCCTCTCCTGCACCCCCCTTCCGGCACTCCCCTCCCGCACCCCCCTTCCTGCACCCCCCTCCTGAACCCCACTTCCGCACCCCCCTTCCTGCACCCCTCTTTCGCACTCCCCCCTGCACCCCTCTCCTGCACCCCCCTTCCTGCACTCCCCTTCCTGCACCCCCCCCTGCACCCCTCTCCCGCACCCCCCTTCCCGCACTCCCCCTGCACTCCCTCCCGCACCCCCCTTCCTGCCTCCCGCTCCCTCTCCCGCCCCCGCTCCCGTGCCCCGCTGTGCGGCCCCGCTCAGGCCGCAGTGCCCGGTGCAGCCCCGCTCACGCTGCAGAAGCAGTTCATGCACAGGGACTCGATCTCCGCCGGCCGCTGCTCCCCGTCCTCGGCGCTCAGCGGCCGGAACAGGGGCCCCGCGCCCGCCGCCTCCACCGCGCCCAGCGCCGACATGCTGCCCCGCCGTCACGTGGGGCGGCGCGCGGTCACGTGAGGAAGCGGCACGGTCCAACATGGCGGCGCCTTTATTGGTGCTCATGGTGCCGCGGTCCCGTTGCCCGCCCCGATCCCGACCCCGCTCCTGGTCTCGGTCCCGACCCCGCCCTCGCCGCCGCCTCCCCGCTCCCCCAGGCTGCGGGACAAGTCCCTCCATAGCGCATCGAGGCGGGCGTGCAGGTCCTCCACGGGCGGCGGGTCCCCCTCCAGGTCCCCCGGGACCCGCGTTGACAGCTTCAGCCGCATCTCCTCCGTCTCCTGGTCCAGGGCGCGGGTGAAGTCCTGGATCTGGATGTACGTGTCCCGCCGGAACTCGTCCACCCGGCGCTGCACCTCCCGCGCCAGCGCCTCGCTGTAGCGCTCGGGGCTGGGCGGCCGCTCCCGCAGGCTGCCGGGGTAAAGGCTCAGCTTGGCCTTGAGCTGCTCCAGGTTCCTCTGGATCTTGTGGTGCAGGTCCCTGGCGCTCTGGGTCAGCTTGGAGGACAGCTCCTGGATGTACTGGTTGAGCTGCTCCGGGCTGGCCTGGCTGTGCGGGACCACGTTGCGGTGCAGCTCCTCCACGTTGCGATGGATCTCGGTCACCAGCCTGTCCGCGTACGGGTGGAAGATGCCCTTCACCTGCTCCGTGTGGAGCGCGATCTTGTCGCCGTAGTGCGCCAGGAAGCGCTGCACCTCGTCCGCTCCCCCCAGGAGCTGAGCCGTCACCTCCCGGCTCGGCATCAGGTGGCGCCGCAGCTCCCGGGCCTTCAGGGACACTTGGTCCAGCAGCTCCTCCGTGAAGGGCTGCAGCCGGTAGCGGAGCTCTTCCAGGTGCCTGCCCACCTTGTGGTGCACCTCGTCCACGTACGGCGACAGCTTCACCCGCAGGCTCTCCAGCTCCTTCCGGATGAGCTTCCTCAGGCTCTCCGAGTCCTGCGACAGCCGCGGCTGCAGCCCTCGGTTGAGCGGCGCCAGCTTCTCCAGGAAGTTCCCCATGTAGCTCACCCCGTCCTGGGCGCTTCCCTTCGGGCTCCTGCATGAGAGCAGCCGCTGTGAGCACCCCTCGCTGTGCCCTAACACACACGCGCACACACAATAAAGCTGCTGGCAGCCTCCATGAGCGCTTGTGTCCCCAGCGTGCTGGGGGCTTGCAGGGGTTACCCGCTGTACTCACGCCATGCCCCTGCCCAGCTTGCTGCCCTGGCCGTGCTCGGGGCTGTCCTTGTCACTCGTCAGCTGGCTCAGGTACTCCCAAAAGCTGCTCCTTGCTGGCTCGGCCGGTGCCACTGCGGGCAGGGGGGCAGTGTTAGCGTGGCAGCACCCAGCCTCTGCCCCGTCCCATTGCCCCCGGTCATCCCCGAGCGAGCTCCTCCGCTCTGCACCTACCTGGGATGGTGGCCAGGAGGGTGAGGAGCAGCGCAGCCTCCGGAGGCATGGTGTGCTGCGGGAGGAAGGAGAGAGGAGCACATGAGCGCAGGGCTCCCCGAGCACTCGTGGGTCAGTGCTCCCTGTGCTTCGTGCCCCATTCACTGTGCCCCACAAGGACCTCTCCCCCGGGGTCCCCCATAGCGCCGCCAGCACAGGATGGCACCCACACAAGTGACACGGGCAGGAGGTGCCCCTCACCCGGCTCCCGGTGCCTCCCGTGTCCCTGCGGCGCCGCCGGCCCGCGGCTCCCTTTATACACGTGCAGGGGAAGGTCTTTTGGACCTCACTCGGGTAAACACAACGTGGAGGCTGCGGGCTCACGTGGGGGTCACCTGAGCGCCGTGCTCCGGCCTCATCCTGCCCCTGCCCTTTGCAGCCTGGGGCAGAGCTGCAGCACCATAGGGGACACCTATGGCTGCAGGTCTAATGGAGCCCGCGGCGCTGAGATGGGGCAGGAGGATCTGTGACAGGGAAGGGTGAAACGAGCACGGCGCCCACCGTGGGGCTCCCTGTTTGCCATCGAGCATCCCTGCTTCCCGCTGGGATACCAAACCCGCCCCGTTTTGGTGTGGTTCCCTTCTCGTCGCCTTTCCCCCAGGAGAAAGCAGCCACGTTTTCAGCCCGGGTCACGGCCCCGTGCGGGGAGCTGGGTGCTGACACCAGGCTCTTAAAGCAGGAGGGTGCTGCAGTGTTTGCAGCCAAGCAGCCCAGCAACCAGGGGCAGGTTTTCCCCATGGGTCAGGGTGCAGGGCTGGGGCACGGGGCAAAGTCCAGCACGGTGCTGGGGTGAAGCTCCGAGCAGTCACCGATGCTCCTTGGCACCAAAGTCCACCCTGATCCTTCCCTGTGTGGACACACGGGGTCACCCCGGCAGCCCTGGGAGCATTCCCAACCCAGGGCTCTGCTGCTCCCTACCCATCTGCATAGGGCCACAGTCCCTGCAGGCTGTGGTGGGGATGCTGTGTCCATCAACCACCCAGTGCAGCCTGCATGGCCCAGGACCCCGCAGCAGCAGCAGGCCCCACTGAGCGGGGTGCTTGACTGTATGCGGGATGCTGCCGGTTGTGCTGGGGCACCCCCGAGTGGTGAGGTCCCGGTCCCTGACCCCTTTCTGGTTGATGGTGCCTGCATCTACCCCCATCCCCACGCTGTGATGAGATCCCCACCCGCCTGGACCCATTCTGTCCCCTTCCCGCTGCCCTGGGCCCCAGCTTGGGGGTGATGCTGTCGCCTGGATCAGCTGCCCTGGGTTGCCCATCCTGGGTCAGGACACGACACGGAGCGGGCTGTGCATCACACACACGGGTTTATTCGTGCCGCGAGGAGCCGGCCCCGCACCGGGCGCCATCGGGGGCTCAGTCCGCAGCGGGCTGCGCGGTGCTGAGGAAGGCGGCCACCTTGTCCCGCACCTCCTTCTCCAGCAGCTCCATGTGGTCCTCGACGCCGGCAGCGCCCGACTCCAGCTTGCCCCGCATGGCCTCCACGCGCTGCACCAGCTCCTGCCCCAGCGCCTCCCCGAAGGGGGCTGCCCGCTGCCGGAACGCCTCCAGCGTCTGCCCCACGCGCTCATCCAGCTCCTGCGCCAGCGGTGCCAGGCGCTCCCGCAGGCCCTGGGCATCGCCGCCGGCCGCCCGCTGCAGCTCCTGCGCCAGCGGCGAGAGCTGAGCCCGCAGCTCCTCCGAGCTGGCCTCCAGGCGCGCACGCAGCTCCTCGGCCGCGCGCTCCATCTGCGCCGTCAGCGCCTCGAGCTGCCGGTTGAGCCCATCCTGCACCTCCTGCGCGTAGGGGCTGAGCCCCCGCCGCAGCTCCGCCACGCTCCTGCCCGCCTGCGCCTTCAGCTCCTCGGCCAAGGGCGCCAGGCGCTCCTTGAGGCTCTCCACGCCGCCGTCGATCTGCTGCTGCAGCCGCTCCGCGTAGGGGCTGAGCGAGGCCTGCATGTCCTCAGTGCTGCCCTGCAGCCGGGCCCGCAGCTCGGCCGCCAAGGGCTCCAGCGCCCGCCGTAGGTCCCCGGCGCCGCGGTCCACCTGCGAGCGCAGCTCCTCGGCGTAGGGGCTCATCCTGGCCTGGAGCTGGCGGATGTTGGTGCCGATCTGCTGGTGCACCTCGTCGGCGTAGGGCGCCAGCTTGGCCTGCAGCTCGGCCAGCTCCCGGCGGATCTGCTCCTTGAGGCGCTGCGAGTCCTGCGCCAGCCGCGCCTGCAGCTCCGTGGCGAACGGCACCAGGCGCCGCTGCAGGTCCTCGGCGTACGAGTTCACGCTCTGCAGGTTGCTCCCCAGCAGGGTGCTGGGGACAAGCGGGTGTCAGAGCCCCCCTGTGCCCATAGACCCCTGCCCGGCCCCCCCGGCATCCCCCCGGCACCGCAGCCCTGCTCACTTGAGCTGCTTGGTGATCTCGGCTTGCTGCAGCTGCTCCACCGTGTCCTTGGCGTTGCTGCCCAGCTCCGTGAAGTACTTCCAGAGCACGCTGGCCACCTCGTCCGGGTTGACATCAGCCCGGGCTCCTGCATCCAGAGGCTGGGATCAGCGCTGACACAATCCCATTCCCGTGGCACAGCGCATCCCTATCCGTGCCCCAGGGCGGGACAGCGTCCCGGCGCCCCAAACCCGCACGCTGCCTCACCTGACACCACCAGGAGCACCAGGACGAGGGCGGCCGCCTTGGGAGACATCCTGAGTGCTGGGGATGCCTGCGGGGACACAGAGCGGGGATGAAGGGAGCCCCATGGCGGCAGCCCCAGCCTCTGCTGCCTGCCCCACTGCAGGCAATGCAGGCACCACTGTCCCCAGCCACTCACCTGCTCTGCCACCACTGCGGTCCTGCGGTGCTGTGCTGCTGTGCCGGGGAGCACCGGCCCTATTTATGCAGCCTGAGCGCCCTCGGTGGCTTCCACGCAGGGCTGGGACACAGCCTCAGGCTTGGACTTTAGCAAGGTCGCAACGTGGAGGCGCCTGACGTGTGCACAGCCCTGACATCAGCCACAGCCCTGACATCAGCCACAGCTCTGACAGCTCCCAGCGGGGAGCGAGGGATGGGGGTACATGCACATGGGCACCCCAGGTCAGGGACCGAAGAGCAGCCCCCAGCTCCATAGGATGCAGTGATGGACCTGCTGGTGCCGGCTTTGTGGTACCCAGGATGCTCAATGGGAAAGGGCATGGGCTGAGGGGATGCTGTGGTGGATGCATGGAGGCACATGAACAGATAGCATCCCTCCCTCTGAGCCCAGGCTCCTGGAGGAATTCCATAAGGAATGACAGGACCCAGCTGCTGCGGGATGCTGCGGATGCGGGTGTGCCCTTGACCAGCCTGGGACCCGCGTCCCTGGCCATGAGCATCGGGCTCTGTGGTGTCCCCGCTCCGTGCTGCAGCCAGTGCTGATGTGTCAGGGCTGGGGCGAAGGGCAGGGCTGGCAGGGGCAGGGACCAGCCGGGAGCGGTGGTGCCAAGGTCCAAAGAGCCCCCGCGGTGCCTCAGGGCTGGAGCAGCCCCACGGGGCCGGGGCCACTGGATGTCACCCTCGTGCTGTGCCCACAGCCCCAGGCCTGAGCACACACATGCACCCGATGTGCAGACACACGCAGAGCCCCGTGCCTTGTTCCCTAGGGAATTTCCCAGCTCCCGGCCGGAGGCAGCCCCTCCGTTACGGACCTGGCACCGCTCGGTCCCTGCACCGCGGCCCCTTCCCGGCCAGCCCCTGACCTTTGCACAAGCCCCGGAGCCGGCGGTAGGAGGGTATAAAGTGGGACCGGGGCTGCCCCAGTCCCAGAGACCGGCTCAGGTGAGTGGGGAAGCCCGGGTGAGGGTCCCGGTGGGAAGGGGACGGGGTTGGGACCCCCGTGGGGCCGCCCCACACCGTGTGCTCTGCTCTCTCCACAGCCATGAGGGTGTCCCTGCTGCTCCTGCTCGCCTGCACGGCTGTCCTGGCAGCACAAGCAAGTAAGGGGGCTGGGGCCGGGCTCAGGGTCTATAGATGCCCATATATATAGTGCCTATAGACAGCCTATGGCCACATCCCATCATACTTGCGCTTGCAGGGGCCGATGAGCCCGGGGAGCCCGAGGCGCTGGTGCGGAAGGTGCAGGAGTACGCGCAGAAAGCATCGGCCATGGCCAAGAGCGCCCTGAGCAGGGTGCAGGAGTTGGAGGTGGCTCAGCAGGCCAGGTACCCCCGTGCCGCCCCGGTGCCATGGGGACCATCGGGAGCCGGTGCTGACCCCGTCCCTTGTCCCTGCAGGCGGTGGCTCTCGGACAACGCGGAGCTGGCGAAGCAGCGGCTGGCGCGGTTCAAGGAGCAGCTGGTGCAGCTCTGGAAGGGGACATCGGCCGCGTAGCGCCGGGGGGGGGACGGGACACACGGGATGGGAACCCCCAGATCCCCTCCCGCTGTCACGGTGCTGGCAATAAAGAGGGCTGAAACAAGCGGCTGTGGTGGTGTCGTTGGGGGTGAGGAGGGGCGGGATGGATGCGCTGCTCCCCCCTGCTGCGGACAAGTACCCAGGCACGGGGGGGTGTGACCCAGCTCCTGGCTCTGAGTGGGGCACCTCAGTGGTAGGGGGAAGCCGGGGCGCCCACAGTGCTGCTCCCAGTGCTCCCCACTCCCTCCCCGCCCGAGCCCCCCTCCAGCATCCACTGCAAAGACTGAGCGAGCTCCAATAACTTAAGTCACGTTTATTCGACAAAAGGAAGCAAAGCTGAGACCGACACCGGTTCGGGGAGGGGGGAGGCAGCGGGAGGGCAAAGAGGGGTCCCAGGGCTCCCGCACCGGGCAGGGCAGGGAGCGGGCAGGGTCAGTCCTGGCCAGCGGCTCAGGCCACGCTCTTCTGGAGGTCATCCAGGAGGGTGATGAAGCGAGCCTTGAGGTTCTCGGCGTAGGGGGTGAGGCGCTCCTTGAAGTCCTGCAGCAGCGGCGTCACCTTCTCGCGCAGGTTGCCCAGCTGCTCCACCACCTTGGCCTGGTACTCGGCGGCCTGGGGGATGCCCTTCTCCCGGATCTCCTCCAGCTTCTGGCTCAGCTTCTGCCGCAGCTCGTCGCTGTAGGGAGCCAGGTTCTTGCGCAGCTCCTCCACGTGCCCGCGCAGGCGGTCCCGCGCCTCCTCGGCCACCGGGGTCAGCTTCTCCTGCATCAGCTCCACCTTCTGCTTGGTGAGCTCCTTCAGCTCCTGCGCCACGGGCGCCAGGCGCTGCCGGTACTGCTCCAGCTCCTCCGTCCACTTGGCAGAGAACTGGTCCAGGAAGGGACGGATCTTCTCCTTCACCTCCTCCAGGTCCTTGGTCAGCTCCTGGCGCAGAGCCTCCGTGTCCTTCAGCCACATCTCGCGCACCTCCTTGTAGTAGGGGGCCATGTCCTCCCGCAGCTTGGCGGCGGCTGCGCCCAGCGTGTCCAGGTTATCGGCCAGCTTCAGGCTATGGGGAGGGAGCGGGGGGAGGTCACGCACGGCACCCGGGGACCCCGCATCACCCCCGCCGGTCCGGACCCCACTTACTCCAGCTGCTTGCCCACGGCCGAGGACTCGAACTGGGAGATGGCATCCTTGCCGCTGGCCTTCACGGTCTCCAGGTACACCTCCACCATGTCCTTGAGGCGGTCCAGGGGCGCCTGGGGCTCGTCATGCTGCCAGAAGGAGCGGGCCTGGGTGCCTGCGGGGGGAGCACGGTGTGAGCAGGACCCAGTGCGTGCAGAGACGGCTCCAGCCCTGCCCGGCTCGGTGGGAACCGGGAGCCACTCGGCTGCGGCCAATTGCTTCCAGCATCAGGCTCCGCGGCCCCATCCCACTGTGTCCCGCAGGGATTGGAGCTGCTCCCCAGCCGCAGCCCGGTGAGGACCTACCCGTCAGGCAGAGCAGGGCGAGGGCCACCACCACGGCTCTCATCTTGGCGCTGAACCTGGGGGCAGAGCAACAGAGTCGGGTTCAGGGACCGCCCGGCAGAACCGAGCCCCCATCCCGGCACCGCGGCATTCCCGCGGGGGCTGCGCCGGGCACCGCCGCTGCATCCCCGCTGCGCCACCGCATCCGGGAGCAACCGGAGCCGCTGGAGCAGCCCAGGCTCTCACCGGCTCCGTCCCGCTGCTGCTCGTCCCGTCTGAGCCGCGCTGCCCCACGGCCGCTATTTATGCCGGAGGGGCCGTTCCCGGGGGAGATAAGCGGCGGAGCAGCCCAAGAAACCGCTCCCCGCGCGGCCCATGTGGCGCGGAGAGTTCAAGGATCGCGCCGAGGAGCGCGCTTGGCAGCGCCGCGAGCAAACAGGAGCTCCCCGGCCCGGCCAAGGAGCTGTTTACGCTCCCGCTGACCCAGATTCCTGCCTGGCTGCGGCCGGGGCCTCCCGGCAGCCCGCGGGGATTGGCCCCGGGCCCGGGGACAAGGTCTGCGCCCGCGGCGGTTTGGCCGCTCGGACCCAGACCCTCGTCCTCTGCGGGGGGACCCAGGCGCCCCCGTCCCGATGGGTCCCCAGGGCTGAGGTGCTGGGAGCTGGCCCAAAGGCATCCACATGAACTGGGCCCGGGTGAGAGGGCACCAGGGGCGCAGCAGCAGAACAGGTTGGGAAATGCCAGGGGAAGCTCTGGCACAGCCCCGAGCCTGGGCTGGCTCACTGGGCACTGCACCCTCCTTCCCTCCGCCGCCACAGCTCCGTTCTTCCCTCACCTCCATCCTCATGTGCCCACCCCAGAGCTGCCCCGCTCCGGGATGTGCTCAGCGCCACGGGTTTGATCTGCAACACCGCATTCCCTGCGCAGGGAAGGATGCAGACAGCGCGGGTTCCATGCTGCATCCCGAGGGATAGAGCAGGGCAGGAAGGGGAGGAACACGGCGATCCCGGCTTGCAGCAGGTAGAAAGGGCTGTGCAGGGGGGGCGAGGGCCCTGCACGCAGTGCCTGCGGCAAGGAGGATTGCTGCACCTTGAGCTTTCACCCACGCGGCCGCATTGAGCAACCAGAGAGGAGACGAGGGCAGATCATCATCATGGTTTTATTTGTCATGATCCCACTGTCCAACTAAGTGACGAGTTGCAAGTGACCCACAGAAGAAATGGACCGAAGAGTTACTGAAACTTGGGTTTGGTTTAGTCCAACAGAAACGAGGGAGGGAGGAAGGCAAAAAAATACTTCTGACATTTCCAAAACCCAGGAAGGAGAGCAAAGGGCATTAATATACATTCAACACATACTGCGCGGGGTGGGTGCTACAATACAAAGCCATGGTAGGATGGGTGATGCTGCGGGATGGCAAGTGGAGGGGGGCCCGGCTGGTGCGGGGCAGCCGAGGGGCTCTCCCCCTGCCCCCAGCACCATGTAAACAGAGGAAACCAAACCAAAGGTAGGAGCAGAAGGCGTTCGGCGCTTCCCGTGTCCCCGGGATCGCTCCTGGCCGGGGGGAGGCCGGGCCGAGGCACGGTGAGGATGGGAGGGCAGCGATGCCGCTGTGCCGGGCTGGTCCCGCGCTTCCTTCTGTGCAGAGGTGTGTGGGGGGGGTGGGGGTGATTTTGCTCTTATAAAAGATTCCAGAAAAGTGTCATTAAGGAGAAGCGGAGCCGCGGATTCCCGAGGGAACGGCCGCCCAGCCCGCACGGGAACGGGGGAAGCGGGACAAGGGGAGACCGACGCGCGCCTGAACTGCAGCAAGGAAATACCACTGTGGCCACTGGCACGAGCGAGGGAAAACCAGTCACAAGTACAATGTCATCGGGGGAAATAAAATACTTTGAACAAAAGGTGCAAGTCACAATCGATACAGAACAGAATCTAGGTTAAAAATTCCTCTCAAACGGAAATTCCTTTTGCCTTTTTATTAATAACAATAATAATAAAACAACATTTACCAAAAAAACAATTCCTACGTGGTCGGGAGGAGGAGCCGAGGAGACGAAGGAAAATCCGTCTTCCCTACGGAAAAGCCAGGAGAAAGAAAAACCCCAAGTGGGATGCAGGTTGGAAAAGAAAAGGCCGGGGCTGGGGCCAGGAGGAGCTGATCCTTCAGCACACGGACAGACAGACGGACGGACGGTCGGACGGAGAGGAGGAACCAAAGCAGACCGAGATGAGACAAGAAGCGTATTGCACCAGGGGTGGGTGCTCCCGGCCGGAGCCGTGGGATCTGCTGCGGGGCCAGCGCCGTCCTCGTCCTCACCAGAGCACAGGGATGAAGAGCAGGAGGATGGCACGGGATGAGGGATCCGGGATCCGACCGGCTCCGCACCCGCCTGCTCCCCGGGCAGCGAAACCCCTCCCGAGCAGCCCCAGTGCTCGGGCTCCATGGGGAGCTCTGGCTGTTTCGGTGGGAGTTCCAGGCAAACATGGCAAAGGAAGTAAAGAAACCAAAGGGCGGGCAGGCTGGCGGCGCGGAGTATGAGGAGAGGGGCCATGGTATTCCAGTTAGTCAGAAATACTACGGCAATTTGGCGCAATGCTGCTAGATACTGTTGGTTTAAAATGGACCTTTTCGTTTCAAAGCTGTACAGAAAACCTGCAAGAGAGGAGAAGCAGAGGTGTATAGGAGACACCAGAGGACGGCAGCGTTGCTTCCACAGCCCCAACCCCATTCCCAGTCCCAAACCACAAGCTACACCCTGGGAGGGAGGCACAGGGCTCTGACAGAGCAGCCAAGGCCTCATAGGAGCCTGCTGATGAGCAGGGGACCACAGCCATGGGAACCTGGAGCTGCCGGTCTCTTCCCAGCCTCACACCAGCCCTGGAGCAAGGCAACAGGGAATGGGACACATGGTAGTGGGAACAATAGGGCTCTGACCCTACATTGGGCAGAGGAGGACACTTGAATACTCACTCCCTCCTGGTTACACCCCTGCCTGCTCCATCCCAAAGGGCACCTCCGGGTGCTTGTAGCTCAGTAGGACGTCTGTAATACATGTCGATGGGTAACAGGAGGTGTTTAGATGCTGGTTGCCATCACCTAGGTTGGGATGCTCTTGACCTTCCAAACTCTCCCCACATTCTGTAGGGCAAAGAACAGCGTTGGAGTCTGCGCAGGAGGTGCCCAAACCCTCCCCCTGCTCCCTGCAGGCACTGCTCACTTGGAGGAGAGGTGCTCTGCACCCCAGATTGCGAGCTGGTGCGCTCAGCTCCTGGCCCAGACCCCCCCCCATCACATCCCTGCAGCTCGGCAGGTCCTTACCATCGCTGTCCCTGTCACGCAGCTGCTGGCTGGCCATCAGCGACGACTGGCTGAGGACAGCGTCCGACATCCGAGCAGAGCTTAGTGCTTTCCCTGCCATTAAACTCATTCCAGGCAAGTTATCCAACTGCACCTGCAGAGAGAGCAGCACACGAGTCAAAGGGGGATCAGGACAAAGCATCCCTCTGCTGCCCCAGCTCTCTGGGAAGCCTTCGGCAAGGGATTCTAAGTGAAAAGCATGCACCATAAGGCATAGCTTAGGTGCAGCCACTGTTCCCTCAACACAAGAATGGACTGGACAGGCCGAGTCCCTTCCAGACCCACACTGAAACAACTAGGCCAGAGCCCCTCTCACGCAGAGCAGAAGGGAGCTGCGGCAGAGAACACATCCAGCTTTGGACAGGACAGTTCCCAGCAGCCCCAAACACAGGCTGCCTCACCAGAGCACATGGGGGAAAAAGAGCTGCCACACTGCAGCAGCCACCCTGGAGCAACCCTTGAGCAGAGGAGGAGCATTCCACAGGGACCTCTGCTAAAGTGTGTTCACTAACTCAAGTGTTTCATGGGGCTTTTCCATTCCCAGCACCCCACAGAGCCGGGCGCTGCCTGTCCTTCAGGACACCCGGTACATAACCCCCACAGGAAGGAAGCTCCGTGCTGCTTCAAACCTACGTAGGCATCGTCACTGTTCTGGATGGTGTGATGTCTCTGCAGGGTCCGGGGCCGCGGGTGCTCGCTGGAGGCGGGTCGCACGGGGTAGCCCAGCCCGTTGTGGTCAGGCACCTGCATGGCTTGGCCGGGGGAGCTCCTGTCCATACAGTTCCCTACGATGGACTCTTCAAAGTCAGGCAAGACAGAGAAAGGCCAGGTTAGTACGAGGAACCTGCAGCTCTCACTGCAAACTACAGCTCTGAGATGCAACGCCATGAAGAGTCAGTGGCAGAAAGGGCCCCCCGTTGCTCTCATGCAGTGATGCAGCACCAGGCCCCCGCCAGTGGCACTTGGACAGGCTACTCCTCCCGGCACTGAGATCCCAAAGACCCCAGTGCTATCTGCCTCCCATCGGGTCTACAAAAGCAGCCTAAAGTCAGAGGGGCAGAGGCACCAGAGGACAGGAGCCAGACCCTTTCAGCCTGCTTCCCAGCCCTTCTGCCTTCCCCTCCACCTCCTCCAGGCCTTGCCCCCTTCATTGCACAATGAGGAGGGAGAAGCATCTCCCCAGCCTCCACACGGGGTGTTCCAGCAGCACAGCCTTGCTGGAAGAGCTGGCCAGGATGTTCCCTTTTATCAGATGACTTCTCCCTGCCCTCCCACAATCTGGCCGCAGGAGTACATGAGTGATCTGCCTGGCAAAGTCCATCTGCACTGCAAGCTCTCATGACCGAGGGTAAAGGCTACACTGCTATCAAGCAAAACCTCCCATCATCGAGTACACGATGTTTTGAATAAAGTCCTGAGGTAGGGAGCAGCCCTCATTGGGTCTGATGCTTGTAAACAGCTCTGAGCAGCCCTGTGGAGCACAAACATGCCGACGTGGCCACGAGCACCGGGGAGCTGCCCGCAAGTGACACACAGCAGAGTGAGCCCCGCCAGAGCTGCCTGTCTGCACAGCGGGCAGCACTGTCCCAGGACACGGCCCCACGCTGCTGGGTCTGCAATGGAGGGATGCCAGGAAGGTGCTCCCAGGGACACCTGTCCATAACGTGAGCGGGATCCGGACAGGACCCGCTTGCAGGAGCACAAGCAGGGCTGGCACAGCGCTGCCAGTGCCCTTCCTCCCCTGGAGACAGCTCCGGCTGGGCCGGGATGGAGCGAGGGCAGTCAGATGTGGCCAGCCTCCCCCTTCCTTTGCACAACCGTGGGGTTACGTGCGGTTAACAGTCAGCCTTCCCGGAAAAGGGAGAAGGAAAACATGAGGTCAGAGCTGCTGGCGCGGCCGTGCCACCCACATGCTGCTCGGGACACCGCTCCAACTGTGGGAACGGCTGCTTGGGCCGGCTCCTCCAGGTCCAAACACAGCCTGGAGCAGGACCGCTCCCACAGCCAGCCCTGCTATACGGGGATGAGACCCCTCAGCCTGGACTAGCCTGGACCCAGGACACGACCACACACATCCCACTGCCAGCACGGCACCGCGGAGGGCTGAGGGATGGGACAGCTGGAATCCTCCCTCCTCTCCTCACCCCAGCCCTGCTCCAGCCGCCCGAACCCCAGAGCAGGAGCCCTTCCACCCCTTTGTGTCAGTGCAGCATGTGACACTGGCACCACGGGCCGCCTGCTCCGCTCCTTCGGGGCCGAGCAAGGCAGGTTTCCCATGGGCAGCATTCCCAGCCCTGTGATGGATGGAGCAAAACTGGAGCAAGGCTGCTCGAAGGCAGTGCAGTCACATCCTAAACACGGCTCTGGTGAACGCTCGCAGTCCCTGGCTGCGATGCTCAACAGCCAAGCCAGGGCTCTCCGCTCAGGGACAGCACGCTCCATCAGCAGGCCCTGTGAAGGTACACCCCACTCGAGGGAAAACACTCGGTGAGCTGGGGCAGAAGAGACACTTCCCCCTCTTTGCTCAGCAGAAGCTGTGGCCTCCTAACACTGTATAGGGAAAAGCCAAGGAACGTGGCTATGGAAGCCTTCAGGAGAGGAGCCGTGCCTGGCCAGGGCAGGTCTCCCCAGCCAGCCCTTGGTGCCTGCACACAGCACACTTGGGAATGCTGGGGGTACCCTGTGTGTGAGTGAAGCACCAGCACGGACTCCGAGGCTGCGCAGGGTTTAACTGCAGATAAGGGTACCCAGGCTGTGTGGAGCAGCACAGGCCTGAGTCCAAGTGGGTTACCGAAGGCAGGAGGAAAGCGGCGCGAGCGGCTGCATCTCAGCACAGAGTTTACTCCATGAGCCCTCTGACAATGCACTTACACAACACTATTTGTAAACATTTACTTGCTTTTACTCATTTACAAAGTCTTGGAGGGTAAAGTCCTCTCCCTTGTGTAACCCAGTGTGAGCACCACCAGTATGGGGGCAGAACTTCAGCTCCTGACTTCAGTAAATCCTGTTGTTCATCTAACGGTCTATGGCACTGGGAAGGAAACTTCTTAATACCATAGTGATTTGGTACAAAACACACCTCCAGACCTTCCACCTCCACCTGGGGTGATTCTCCCCTTCCATGCTTCAAGCGCCACAGGGAGAATGAGGTGCAGGAGCAAACACATTGGTTATCCAGGACTGAAGGTGACTTCAGAACAGCTGAGCCTCCTCCCTACCCTGCCTGTGCTCCGAGGGACCAGGGCTTGGCACACTTGCTTCGCCCTCCATGCCACTCTGTTCCAACCCAGTACTTTCCCAGCAAACCCGTGCTGTGTCCCCAGACAAAGCCAAGCCTCTTGTGCCCTGGACACTGCCCCTCTGCAGTAGGGCCTGCTGTGCCAAGGGCAAGCTGATGGCTTCAGACCAGCACAGCTCTGTCTTGCTGTGAATACTGATCCTCCCAGCTTAGCCTGGAAAGCCCTTTCCTCACCAAAGCTCTCCTAGCAAGGGGCCAGGATGGTGCTTTTCATACAGAGAAGGCTGGGAATTACAGCTCAGGCAGGAGCTTCTCTTACACTGCGCTGCTGCCAACGCAGCCACCAAGGAGCAAAGGCTTCCAAGTAGCAGAGAAGGTCTTCAGATGCTAATGGCAAGTTTAAACTCACTTTCCCCAGAACCATCCCCTTCTAGTTCAGGCAGGGCTGGAGCCTTGCTGCTGCTGCCCAACGCGCCAGAGGAGCTGCCTCAAGGCAACCCTAGCAACAAGACACCTACCACCGCTCTCAGGGCTATGCTGGTCTTAACTGTTTCCAGCCCATTTTATGGGGGATTGGGAACATCACCGATGGGAATAACTGCACCAACAGCACACAGCATCCCCGAGAAGACGGCAGTGCACTGCTGGGGCCTGGCCTTCACCTGCCTGCACAAGTAGGTCACACTTCAAAGAGAAGCTGTTGCTCGGGTTCCCTTCTTATTTAACGCTGTTTATTAGAGACTATGCCTGCATTTACTTAAGGCCACAAAGCCGGAAGGAATCCAGGTATCTCCGTGCTATGCAGAGCATGTCACGGAAGCCTCCGGCAGGGAGGCCGGCAGCACGCAGGCAGCAGGGCAGTGTTCCATCAGGAGCAGGGAGCCTTACCTCTGCTGGGCACCTTACTCCTACTGAAGGCAGCCGCGGGCTGATGCCTGTACTGGTGCGTCCCCAGCTCCTGCGCGTGATTAGCAGTTCCTAGCAAGGGGTCTGGGTCCCCGTGCCCTCCTGAGCTCACGAGCAGAGGGCTCTCGTGGCAGCCTTTGGTCAATGTGTTTGCAGTCTTACTGTCAGGAAAGCTGTCCCTGGCCCCCTCGCACGCGCAGTCCTCCTCCATGCTCTCCGAATGGAACAGGGCTGGCTGGTGCACGTATCCGTGCGGCGGCACTGACGCAGGTACCTGCTGGATACATTCTTGCGCCCTGATTTTTAAGAGATGCTGGGGGCTGCTCTGTGGGTGGTACGTGTCAGCACTCTGATAAGGCAAAGACAACGACTGGCGCTCCGAGAGGCTCTGTCCCACGCTGGCGCCCATGTTCCCAGCATCCCCTTGACTCATATGCCTGAACAACTCTTGGAATTCTTGCTGCTGCTGCTGCTGCTGCCGCCGCTTGATGAGCTGTGCAAATTCTAACTGGGGCAGCCGCATGTCCGTGTGCCCCGTGAGCGAGTGCCGGGGGGAAAGCAGTCCCTGGAGGATGTGCGGTACCTGCTGGTGTCGGCTGTAGTCGGGAGGCGTCGGGGACAACAGTGCTTGCTGTAGTGCGGATGCGGTGTAGTGCTGCTGCTGCTGCTGCTGCTGCTGATGTGCGCTCTGCGGGAAGCTGGGGTACTGGTCGAGCTGCGGGACCTTGAGAGCTTGCTGAGCTGGGGGGAACCCCACTCCTGCGGCTGGGCTGTAGCTGCCGGGGGACACGCGGGGCTGCTCGGGGTACAGGTGGGGGTGTAAGTGCACCTGGTCGTAGTTGGCGGGGGGATACCTGCTCACGTTCAGGCTGCAGAGGACAGAGCAACAGTCACTGTCTCACCAGTGAGCACCAGGAGGCAGGCAGAGCTGCTCCCTGAGGCAGAGCCTCACAGGAACCACTGCCCAGGGCTAGGGAGGCATCTCAGCTCTGCAAAACCACTGCTGGGCTGGTGAGGAAGCCACATCCCAGCCCGAGATAGCCACCCATCTCCCTCCTCCCCGCCTGGGGAAGCGGCAGCATCCTTACCTGTGCGACTCGGCGCTGTCGGCGCTGAGCTGCTTGGATAACTGCCTGTGGCCATAGGAGAGGGAGGCCATCAGGTTAGCGCGGTGCTGCATCTGCATCTGGTTGGCACTGGGGCTCATGGGCATGCCCCGCGCATGGGAGGACATGGACTGCCCGGCCACCAGGCTGCTGCTGACCATGTCGCCGGGCTCCTGCACTTGGATGGTGACCTGCTGAGGCTGCGACTGCTGCTGCAGGCCCAGGCACGTCAGCCCCATGTTTGGGGGAGGGGAACAGTTACCGGACTGCGGGAAGATTGTGTTGTGGGACGGCATCCCTTGGAACTGGGACTGGGAGGTGGCACCTATGGGGAACAAAGACCCTCAGCACCCACAGCCAGCGAGGGAGCAAGGCTCAGGAGTGAATCCTGCCCTGTTGAGGAGCTGCTGCTCTTCTGGGCCACGCTGGGAGTCCCGGTAAGGGGGTGACAAGGAGCGTGACTCCTGACCGCGCCGTCACGCTGCACCAGCGCGCAAAGGTCACAGCTACAGCCCCTTCCACAGAAAGAGAAACAAAGCTGAGGCCATTTGCATAAAGCCCAGAATATCAGCCCTGCCTCCCCACCCCCGGGAGTGATAACTAAGGATCTTGTGACAAGAAACCCAAGAGCACATTCCAGCTGGCAGCTCCTCGCGAGCTCTCGATAACACCAGCGCTTGCTGCCAGATGGAGCAGCTTTTCCATCAGCACAAACTGCACAAGGACCGGGCCATGGGGGGGGGGGGGGGGGGGAGCTGGGGCTGAAGCCCCCAGCTCCCCCCGCACCTGTGTCCCCAGAGCTGTGATCGGCCCATATGGTTGTGCCAACAGCCCGCCCCAAGGAGCAGATGGCTCCGTGCAGTGCCGGTGCTTACCGTGGGGCTGGAGCACGCTGCTGCTCACAGGAGGTGGGCTGCTGTTGGGTTGCCTGAAGAGGTGGTTATTAGGGTGGTTCGGGGGCGGGCTGGATGGCTGAATCCGTAACCTATGCAGGGAAACAAGCAGCTCACCATCACGCCTGCTCCTCATTAGGATGCCTTTCCAACTGCGAGAGCTGACGCCAAATGCTGCGTTTCTTGCGTTTTAAATAAACGCCACGCAGCCCTGTTGGGATCCCAAGATCCTTCCAGCTTGCCTTCTCCTCTGGGAGCCACCCAACTTGCCTATGCCATGCCCGTAGTGAGCTTAACGTGGGGGCTACACCAGAAACACGGCTCAAGGGCACTGCAGGCTCGCCTCCTGCCTCAGTGCGGCTGGTGAGGAACCTTCCCCTCTGCTTTCCCGTAAGCCAGGCTGCCTCATCCCCAGCCAGGGCACTGAAGCCAAGGACAGTTACCTAACAAAAGCCTGAACTGGTGTGAGACGTCCAGAGCAGCTCTGGGCAGGAACCACCAGAGAAACGGGCTACCCAAGGGAAGGCGCTTTCCAGCCGGCCAAGAGGCAGAACTGTCAATCATCTGCCCAAAGCAAGCTTGTGCCTTTGACTCCTGTCCCTCCGCTTCTAAAAACCCTTCAGACAGAGTCCAGCTACAAGGACCAGGCACGCTCACCAGGGAACCGGCTATGCCATCCTAACTTCCAGCTCAGCCCTGACTCTAAGTGGGTTCGCTCACACTAAGAGTAAAACCCTCTCCCCAGAGCTTCCCTAAAGCAGTTTCTTTACCTCTGAAGCTGGTGAGTGAGCAGAGCTGGCTGGTTTTCACATGGAGCCTGCAAGGGTGGAGACGGCTGCGGTGGCCGGATGCAGTCCTGAACCAGGCACCAGAAGAAAACAAAGTGTTTGCAACCCACAGTGTCTCAAGTAGTCCATTCAGACAACACTGACCGGTGAGTGGGACACAGCCAGGTTCAAACACTGAGCCCCCCGGGTGCTGCTGTGGCAGCAGCGTGCAGGAACCACTGCTCAAGTCCTTCAGGCTGGCTTCTCAGGGCAGCCAGCCAAGCAACCCACCCTCCCCTGTCCCACCAGGACCTGCTGTGCCTGCAGCAATGCAGGGACACAAAGCTCAGGCTCCAGTACCTGAATCTGCTGATGAAGAATCTGATGGTGCTGCTCCTGCTGGTACAACATGTGCTGCTGCTGCGTCTTCTCCAGCGTCCTCTCGTCCATGTGCCCACCATACATCTTCTGAAGCTGCTCACACTCCTGCAATGAACCCAGTGAAGGCTGTAAGTGCACTGCACACCACAGAGGTGCCCTCTGCAGCCTATCCATGTGAAAAAGCCAGTAAAGAGAGCCCAGTCCATTGAGCTGGATGGAATCAGGTGTGAGATAACAAAGCCAGTTTAAGCCTTAACAGAAAAGAAAGGGTGCTGTGCTCCCCGGGAAGGGGGGTGTCAGCCCCCAAGGCTCCTGGTCTGCAGGAGAACAGCACAAGCATTTACAGGACACTCAGCAGAGCAGCTGTAGATGTACAGAGGGGCTGCAAAGCCACCACTGAGCGTCCTCAGCCATTAGTGGTGAAGGTTTCACCTTCTGCTTCCTGAAGCAGCGAGGCTCAGACAATAAAAGCCCTTGCAGAGGCTCTGCTGAGGACCCGCAGCCCTCTCTTACCTGCTGAAGCTGCTTGATGCTACTGTTATTGCCCATCTTCTCCAGGTGGGCTTTGAAAGCCTGGATGCTGGCAGCACCATCGGAGAAGCGCCGAACCGGGGAGAAGCGCTCGGTGGGGAGGTGCAGAGTATTGGAGTCCTTGTAAATAGAACTGAACACACGGGGAAGTGGGTTAGAGATGCCAGAAACTGAGAAACACAGCGGTACAGAGACATTTACACCAGCCACGCCAAGCTCTACCTGCCCACTCACCCAGAACAAACCATGGTTTAGATCAGTAACAAAGTGCCATCACCACTGCGAACAGGAAACAGGATTATCAGTATCTCCAGTGCCTGGGCAGATAAGGTTGGGGATGACTTGGCCACAAACCAGATTCCAGGTGGGCCACAACTCATAGTACATCCATTCAGATGGATCTATCCCTCAGCTGGAAAAGGGTTACAGAAACCATTCAGCATCCTAAACACTTAAAATTCACCTCCTCAGTAGCACTTCCTGAGTCTTCCACTTCCCCACGGCCCTGACTACATCTGATGCCTGTGGCAAACACAGAGGCACATGGAGGAAGGAGCCTGATGTGTTCCACAGCCTCCGAGGAGGAAGAGGGGCTGGCATCCATGCTCAGAGATGCAGTGAGTTAAAACAGAGGGCAAGAACCTAACACTGCACAGGAGGGGACATGTAACACATGAATGGAGCTGGTACTTTGCTCGCAGCACCATCAAGCACATTCCCTTCACAAGGAAGTTTCTTCTTCACCATCAGAGGGAGCCAGATTTTTCTCCAGGAGCTGTTTTACCCCAAAGCTGGGGTTCCCCATCCCCAAAGTCGAGCACTTAGCTCATGCCCACCATTAGGCACAAGCTCTACCATCACTAGCAAAGCTGACCCCCCATACAGGGGTCACAGAGTGCCTTACAACAAACAGAAACAGGTTTCTCTGCCCGCCCTAATGGTTCCTGTGCAAATGCAATCTCTATAAACCCCAGCAAACATTACCTAATGGCCTTTGTCTGTGAGGTGGCCTCAGAGGTATGGGCTTTACAGCACCTCTGACATCCTGGCACTAAACCCCATGGAGCCCCTCTAGCAGCAACCGGTGTGGTCCTGATCCACGCTGCTGCAGGCAAGGTGCTGCTGGGGCTATGCTGAATATGGCTCTTGACCAAAGCTTGTTCCACAACGTGAAACAATTTCGCCCAGAGAAGCTCCCCCTTATCAGAAGGTGACCGATGCTGGACCACGTCCAGCACAATGGGTTCAGTCCTTGTCACTTGCTCTGCCTTAGCAGGACATACTGCAGTCTGTACAGATTACACACAGCTTCCTTCCAAGGACAGAGCTGTGCCCCTGCCTTCGGATACCATCCCATCCATTATCCTGGGCTATTTGATCTCCTCTTGTACTGACAGGAAGCAGAAGCTACAGATAAAATACTGCTGAGGTTCCCAAACCCACGTGGCAGGGCAGGACAGTTGTACTGCCTTGTACTGTGGTTGTACTTCAATTCTGCCTTCAGATACTAAGTTCTTGTGACCAAAACTTGGTGCTACATAAGAGGATGACTTAAAATACATGAAGTGCTGAAATAAAACCCTCCTGCCACTCAGTAACTAGGTCTAGTGACGTGATGACAAAGAGTGCTAATGGTTTCTGGGCCATATGTGGCTGGGACACAACATGGGGCGATCTGTTTAGGCCGTGGTCAGATGAAGTTCCTGTGATTTCATAGGTAAAACATGGGGCAGGCTCACAGCGTGTTACAACACCGAGGGTGGAATGAGCAGATACCACCCTGCGCGTGACGCAACTGCCTCAGGATGCCAAAGCCAAGAGGCAACACGGATGTATTTACAGGGTAAGTGTGTTTTAACAGCCCTGCTAAAGATCGAGCCTTGCAGTGGGTGAGGGACCCAGCTTACCTTTGGGGTTTGAAGCAATCCTGAAAGCAGGACACAGCACATTCTGGTGGTTTTGCAAGCTGCACTCCTCTTCCTATCAAGCTGTGACCCTAGAAATCTCTCCCCTCCTGCTCTTCCCATCCCCCAAGCACCTCTGTGAGGGAGTAACTTCAGGGTATGGAGGTGCTTATCTCGGTGTTCCGGAGTTCCAGCGTGGCACTAGCACTGGCTCGGTCTGCTCAGAGTTCACCTGTCTCTGCTGATTACATCAGTGCTCAGCTCAGCAGGTATCTGGCTACAATAAAAAGCGCTTTGTCAAGCCTGCCAGGGTGAGCTGGCTGCAGACTGACCACGAGCACCAATCCAGCCTGGCAGGAGCCTGCTGTCTCAACAGCTCCCAGCACAGGGCACAGCGCCGGGGTGGGGGCTCCCTCTGTGGCACTGGCATCTCCGGTCTGCTGCTGTGGCAAGGGCTCTGTGCCAGGTTAACACCTCTCCCCTCACATTTGAGTGTGCTCAGATCACTCTGCAGAGGTTCTCTCTTTCCCAGGCACTGTGATTTTTCCTTCCCCCCCCCCCCCCCAGCTTCCTTTCCCTTCCCCACATCATTCTCAACAGGGGTTCAGATCAGAAATAAAATGACTCTTGAGGAGCTTTGCAAAGAGACTTTGCAGTCAAAACACACAACTCTGGTGCAGAACAGTGAGGTTTTTTAGCTCTGGTGTAGATGACTCTTGGTGCAGTCTTTTGCCTGTATCTGCCTCCAGAAACGTTCTGTAGAAAATGTGCTATCTACTGCGAGTTGACACCTACCATTAACAGCAGAGAAAACCTTTCCTATGGAATGAGCAGCTCGTTCCCAACCCTTACTTCATGGCAAGTCAGCCCCCAGCCACAAAATAAGGACTGGGGGGGGGAAGAGCCAGTTGATCCGTGCCCTGCATAGCTTGGTGCGCACACTTGGTGTGCTCAGCACAGTGCTCCCCAGCATGGCCAGGCACCCCCTGCTCTGCGGCTCTGCTCTTTGTCCCTGTTCCTCCTCCTCCTCCTCCCTCCCTGCCAGCGGGACGTCCTCAGTGCTCCATTCCAGACGCCTGTGAGCAGGTTCCTGGTGCAAAGCTGCCCGAAGGAAGGGCCGGTGCCGTTACTCACCGGTGCTGGTCGGGGACCAGGTGCGGAGCCCAGGCCCGGGGTCGGAAGGACTGCTGTCCTAGCTGCCTCTGCAAGTCTGGAGGGATTTCAGCTGTAGGGTTGGTCATTGCCAGAGTGTGCCTTTTTGACCTATTTGCCAAGTATCTGCAACAAGCAGGAGCACATTTGATAAGAGACTGATGGGAGAACGCCTAAAAGAGGGAGCGTTAGATAGCCCAGAGGAAACGGGAAGGAAGAAGGCTGCTGCAGTGCTCGGAACCGACCGGGGAGAAGCACGCCATGGCCGTGCTGCCCGTGCCCATCACGCCACGAGGTCCTCAGTGCTCAGGGGACAAGGGCAGTTCCAGCTGCCTGCCTCAGAAGGGGAGAGCAGCCATTAGCTCTTCCCAGCAGGAAAGCCGCGCTTCATAGAATCATACAGTCATAGGACACCTCAAGTTGGAAGGCACCCATAAGGATCATCAAGTCCAACTTCCTGCTGCTGGCAGGACTACCTAACATTCCAAGGGGAGTGCTGGTATTTCCCTTTGGGAATACCCAGGTGATGACCTGCCCTTAAGTGGGTTCACTCCTCTATAGCAGGTCTCTCCCAAGGCCCCACTGAGCCTTGGGGAAGGTTGCTGCATGCATGGAGCCAAGAGACAAACCGCAGATAACCCAGAGCAGGGGCACAGAGCAAAGCTGCTGCTCCACTCACCCTTGCAGGAAGCTTCTGCACTTCAGACCTAGCCTGGCTCTCACTGTGAGCTTGTGACTGCAGTCCCCTGCCCGAGGGCCACCGCACCAGGGCTGATGGGTGGGCAGAGGCTCTGGCTGCCCAAGGCGATGAGGAAGGGCGCTAGGGGGGAGGAAGGCCGGTGCTCAGCCGGCCCGAGGGCGCCATCTAGTCCCTGCTCCGCTCTCCAGGGAGTTGGGAATCACCCGGTAAAGCCAGCGGGAACCCGAGCAGGGAGAGGGTCCCTTCCCCTGGGGCGCAGCCCCAGCACTGGTGCTGGGCTCTCCTCCTGCACCAGAGCCTGGGGCAGCAGCTTGAGCTAAAGCACCCTCTGCACTGCACCTAAGAGGCTGCAGGAGTCCCTCCAAGGACTGGGGAGCACTCAGGGCAGCACCAGGAGCCTCTGCTGCAGCAAGGATGGCACCAAGGGCCACAGAGCCACACAGCCCTGAGCTGCAGTTCTGGCTGCAGGGATGCCCAGAGCAGTGGGGCACGGGGTCAGAAGCGATAACAAGATCAGGGGACGAGCACTTCACCCACTCAAGGCCAGAGGATGAACCCAAGTGGGTGAATGGCCACTTGGGAGCTTAACTCCTGTTCTGGTGCACCATCTGGTAACAGGGACAAAGATCACTTGGCCAGTGACACCAGGGATACTAATAGGATTCTCACCTTCCCTCTTTTCCCCTGCTAAGGCTCCCTACAACTTCACCTGGTGAAGCACAGAAAAGCAGAGAGCAGGAAAGCTGTTGGCCCCTCAAAGCCCAGCCTTCTCTTTGCTAGCTGCAGAAGCCACTTAAGCAGAAGAGAGCAAGTTAACAGAATGAAGAGTGCTTGGCCTTGTGGTAACTTGCCAAAGGCTGTGCCATTAGCTGTTTAAGAATCATTTGATGCAGGCGGGGAACGCTTCCCAAAGAGCTTTACAGTTGTGGTTTGCTAAGATCATTTCATTTCAGACCTCGAGGGAACAATCCAATCATGAGCTATAACAGTGGTTTGGGTGGAAGAAAGTTCCCCAAAGCTCCAAGGAGATGTGACTGTTCCTTGGAACACAGAGGAGATATGCTCTGTTCTCAAGGTCAGGCTGAGAAGGGCAAAACCTGCTCACTGGGGGCTGGACACAGCACAGGGTTCTGAGAAGCTAAATATTTGCATGTGCCCCTCATGCTAACACTATTTACCCTTCTCCTCTGGTGACTACTGATGGGTTGCAACATCAGGGGGTGGAGAGCAAGTTAACACACAACCTGGACCGGGCTTTTTCTGGGCCATCTGGTGGAAGAGGAACACGTGGTATGAAAGGGCTGAGGGCAGCACTGTCGAGAGCAGCCAAGTGACCTATGGATGGGTCCAAGGAGACTTGCCTTCGGGGGGAGCTCAGCCTTTCAGCAGCCTGCATCCTACAAAATGCTGCAGAGGGAGGCTCAAAGTGTTTCCAGCTGAGCCAATGCTGTAACTTAACACTCAACTGAAACCATAGGGCTTAACATAGGAGAGGTGAAAACCTGCCCAGAAGCGGATTTATCTGGTTTGCAGTGTTAGAAACACTGTCCACCATCGGAGGTGATGTCAGTGGACATCACAGGCTCTGAATGACACCTTTTAATCGGCAGCTAGGCAGCACATGTGTGTGCAGAGCACAGCACACAGGGCTCAGCAGCTGACACGGCCTGACTGCAGCCTCAGTGCCGGGAGCGGCATGCTCCTCATCTGCTCACTGCAGTGACCTGGCCTCAGTTCTCTCCTTGTGCTGCCTTGCAGCTGAGGCAGGTCACGAGCATGGACTCTCCCAGTACCATGGCTCAGTGGATGAACAGCAGCACGTGAAGAACCAGGGTCTAAGGCTACACAGAAGACACGAGATGTGCTCTGGGTCACCTCTAAAGTAGGGCTGGAAGTGAGTTTGTTCATGGCACCAGCTCAGACTTTCTTGTAAGCGCAGGCAGAAGAGGAGTCTCCACACACACTCTGCACAGTCTGTCACTGCACACACCCGCTGTTCAAATCCCCCTTTGCTCTGGAGCACTGGAAGGAAAGAGCTGGCAAAGGCTCTGGAGCACAGCGTCCACCCACCCCAGTGCTTCTCTGCCTGCCCCAAGCCCCAGGCTGAATCCTGCTCCCGAGTGCAGCCCCTGAGGAACGCTACCTTGCTCGAGGTGATGGCCTGTACAACCTGGGGGAGTCCAGAAACGTGTTGGGTTTGAGGTAAGCAGCAGGAGCACTCCGAAACCACACTCACCACACGTAGTGCACCAGCCGGTTAGCAGAGAGAGACTACGTAAAGCCACTAAGAAAGTGTTAGCAAGGATAAGGTTAGTGTTCTCATGGATTGAGGAAGTACAAGCATCTTCTACCCGCCTCCTAGTATGTATTTGGAGCAGAGACAACAGAAGTTTCCAGCCTGGTATCTAATGATTCCTTCCTTATTGGTGCAGACTACTTTAAGGCTTACTGCTAAAATTAGCAGGTACCTGTATTTCCAGCAAGCTCACTTTGTTTAAGGCATCAGAGTTGGATGTTTACTGCATGTCTTGATACAAAAGCTGCATTGCCACCCAAGGCCACAGAAGAGCTCTTCCTACCTCCATCACTCAGCAGGGAGGGGTGAATCACTGAGCACTCATTTGCAGGTTAGTGTGGATTGCATGCTGGTGCACACTAAGCAAAGGAATTGAGCAGTTTCAGAGTTTCTGGAGAACCTAGTGCTCAATTAGCTCTCCATTCCAGGGGAAAGCCAGCTCTGTAAGCACCTAGCAGTGTCAAAGGAGGAACTGCCTACAGCAATCAACACCCACAGAACAAGAGGAACGTTGAGCCTTCGCTGGAATCAACACTGTTGCCTGTGAGGAGGTTGCTGTGTTTTAACTCTGTGGAACACCACAAGGTGAGCCTCTTGGAGGCAGCAAGGGCAAATGTTAACAGACAGGAGTTACCTCTGCACAGCTTCCTGGTCCGGCTCCCCATCGGAGCTCTCCTCATCCACGGGGGTGACAGCCGGGACAGCCTGCGGACAGGAGAGGGGCCATGGGCTGCAGAGAGCAGCCACGTGGGCCCATCCACCCCACAGACACCCTCCCAAACAAGCTCTGACACGGGTCTGTCAGCTCTGCTGCAGCACCCAGCACCAAGAACCCCTCCCAGCACTCCTCCCCCAGTCAGAACTGCCCGTACAAGGCTGCTGCTCTGTTGGGGCTACCAGGAAAACTAACTGATGCACCAAGGGCCAAAGAACGCGCATTAATGCCCAAGCTGGCTGTTTTAGCTTCCTCCACTAGAGCAGCAAAGGAGAAGAAAAGCCATCAAATTTAAAAGGTTCGCATCTGTCAGCTCTAGAGAGGGAGGCACCTCAGCTGCTAGCTACAGGAGAGCACAGCAATGCTCCCACATGGGGACAGAGCATCCCACTACTCTGAAGGAGGCACAATCTCTGCTTCCAGCGCTTCCAGAGTGCTACAGACTGAGCCCCCTGCTCCAGTCACCTCTGCCTGCAGGAGAAGGTATTTATAAGCACACCACCGATTCTTTCCCTCCCTTTTGCTACTTACTGGTGTCATAGTGACGAGGGGAGAGGGACCTCGAGGACGTTTGAGCAGTTGCTGTGCGTGTAGCTGGATGTTGGCTCCGCCGTCTGACGCCCTGCGCCCCAGAGGGCCCATGCCATTGAGCAGCTGCAGGGTGGGGGGCTGCAGCAGGGACTGCTCCTGCAGGCACAGACAGCACAGTCATCAACCCTGTACCGCATCCTTCCAGCACCTGAGCCCCAGCCACAACCCCAGGCACCGGCAGGAGAAGAGACAAGCCTTCTGGGCTTCGGGAGAGATGAAGGAGCATCAACATCTCAGCACTGACATGGCGTGGAGAGAGACCACATCAGTGGAAAAGCTTAACTCCCATTTCCCTGCCCTCCTGTGCAGCTGCCAGGCAGGCTGCAACCTGCAGCCCCAAAGCCAGGCACTGTCCTATTTCTCTCCAGCCCAGTAATTCATTCCGTGCTGAAGTGTTCTTTCGTTCCTCAGCTTTTTAAGGACTCGACTAGAATCACACCTAAGACACAGCAAGAAGGTACATTTTGAAGCTTATGTAGCCCAAGGAACTGGCAAATAGAGCAAGTCTGAGCAGACACCACCCCCCCCCCCATACTATCGAGGCACTTGCAGGGGTCAGTACCTTGTACTCCAGCTGCCCCGTGGGCTGCAGGTTCTGCCGAGGCAGCACATTGTGCATGAAGTTCACATTGGGGGTCACCTGCAGGAACGGAGCCTGAGGGGTGACACGGGGGAAGCCAGGCAGGAGCTTCTGCAGATCCTCCATGACCTCCGTCCTGTGCAACCACAGTTATAGAGGGGAATTAGCAGTGATGTGGCGAGGACCAGCCAGCGGCCCAGGACGCTCTGCTTCCCTTCACAAAAAGGCCTCTTACAGCCCTCAGAAGGGTTCCCTTGACCCTTCACTAGGGAGGCAGGGGCTGATACTAACCGTGGGTCAGCTACTCCAACTGTGTGCCTTCTCATGGAGAGGTAGCGGACCAGAGCTTCAGGTGATGGCTCTTCCCCTTCATCACTGTCCAAGTTCATCGTTCCATCAGTCTGGGCAGGAGAGATATTGGAATGATGAAATACAACGTGAGGCTCAAGCCAAGGGACAAGAACTTGCAGGGGTCATCAAGGGGTGTACCTCACCTCTACAATTTGGTTTTCTGGGTTGATGAGCTGCACTTGGGGCACGTTGATGCTCATGGTATTGCCTGTCTGTTCTGTCTGCTGAGCAGAGATCAAAGTCAGAAGGCATGAAGCATCTCATACACCCCCTTTACAGGCACTGCTGGACTGGCACCACAGCACAGATCTAAGCACTTGGGAACAGGGAGGTCAGCCTGGAGCCAGGGAAGATCTGTTTATCCTTAATTCTCAAGGGGTTGCCAGCAGCACAAATTGAGGAAGCAGCATGGCACAGCAGTCCGAGTCTGCAGCCTCTAGCTCCTAATCAGCAACCCTCCCCTTGCCTTCTCTTCTGTCCCTAAGAGTCTGAAGGGCTCACTAAACCCAGATCCAGTGAACAAAGCACAGGATTACGGCACCCTGACTACACAGGACTTGCTCAGACGAGGGGTGCTTTGATGCTCCTGCCAGGCCGAGGACACCAGAAGCGAGTCTGGGTTTAGCAGGGAGGGGACTGCCTGACCTTCCAGGCATGGAAGAACAGCACATGAGAGGGAGCTACCTGGATGTTGGCAGAGGTGGGGAAGGTCATGGTCCGCGGTATACTGGGAGATGGTGCAATGCGCAGGTTCTTGTGCCTCTTCAGCCTGTCACAGAGCAGGCTGTAGATTGCACTGTAGTGATCATAAGCATCTGCTCTTAATGACTGCAAGAGGAAAGGGAGAAAGCGCTCGGGTCCTTCTGTCAAGCAACAAACCAAAGCTCAGCTGCCAGAGGTGACGAGCAGCAAACCCGGCCATTGATCTGCAGTGGGAGCAGGCAGGACACGGCTGCCGCTGCGCTGCCGTACCTGAATGGTGCGCTCCTTGTCCAGCCCCATGTCTGCCATTGCCAGCAACACGTCCTCGTTCAGCGGCTCCATCTGCCTCTCGGTCTTCAGGTGCTGACACTCGGCTATCAGCTGCAAGAGCACAGACACAGCTCAGCTCTGACATTCCCAAAGGCACACCGATGAGTCACGGCGCTCTGAAAACCAACACACCAGGCTCCGGCAGCGAGCTGGCACGAGCTCTGAAGGCTGATGGCACACCAGCTCCAAACCCAGTGCCTTAGGCTCTCAGCGCCAAGGGAAAGGTACAGAAATACACGCAGATGAGGAGCAGTGTGGGAAGCAAGACCAGGAGACACAGAAAGTGGAAGGGCAGCACATGACCACTCGGAATGGAAGTTCAACAGCCGAAACCAACCCCGCAGCACTACGTGCCCAGAGCCCATGGCAGCTCAGCAGGCACCGAGCACACTCCTCACCCTGTCAAACTCGGCGTCAGCCTCCCCAAGCTTCATCCACTTGTGTTTGCAGATCTGCTCCATGGAGAGCCGCTTGCTCGGGTCCAGGACCAGCATGTGCCGGATCAGATGCTCACACTCTGCAAGGGAAGAGAGGCCGGTGACCACAGGAAGGGACACAAGGGCCAATGTGCCTTTATCTTTCACGTATGCTGTCACCATGGGGACCAAAGCTCCCCCTGCTTTGGGCTGGGACCTAAGCTTGCTTTAAAAGCATTGCATGGTTCAGGAAGCACTTTGTGCAGGAAGAGAACCTCTTCCCCAAGTAATGCGGCAGGAAAGGGAGCTTTCAGCTGGGAAGCTCCATGCAGCCCACGTGAAATCATTCCTTAATCTGCCAGCAGGCAGCAACGTATGACTTGTGCTTAAGTGGAGTTGGTTTTCTCTGAGAATTAAGCACACTTTTCAAACCCAAGATTTGTCACTAAAGCATTCGGAAGCATTTCTGCAGGAACAGGACGTAGACATTTGTCTCTGATGGGGCTCTTGCTGGAAACTCATGTGCCATAATGCTGTAAAAAGCTTCTTGTGTAGTGAAAGCCTCTACATTGCTCAGTCATTATAGCCTTCCCATTTCCCAGACTCAGAAGGAGCGTGTCTTTGCTAACATTCTGCTGTACTTTGCCAGTTACACGCACAAAAGCTGAGATTTTAAGTAAGAGCATGTTGGTTTCCAAATTCTAGCCTCAGACCCCATTTTAGCTGACGTTCCAAACCCCATCCAATGGATACCCTTCCTGGCAGCCCACCTGCCTGGCACATAAACCAAGCGCTACGCTGTCATTTCAGCGCTCAAGGAACGCTCAAGGCAGCGGAGGGGACCAGGACGGGCAGCCCTTACCTGTGGACATGAAGAAGGGAATGCGGAACTTGCCGCTGAGCACCCTGGCCCGCAGGTTCTGCAGCGTGCTGCCGTCGAAGGGCAGAGCACCGCACACCAGCACGTAGAGCACCACGCCGAGGCTCTGCACCCAGGATGTGGCAGCAGCAGCAGCAGGGAGAGACCAGAACACAGCGGTTACTCGTGCGGAATGGTGTGCAGAGACAACAAATGATAGTAAAGAAACTCCCGTTGGCACAGAGCCTGTTGGCACCTCAGTGGGAAAGGCCAGGCTGCAGGCAGAGCAGCACTGGGGCCATGGGGGAGACCATCCTGAACCCCTGCACTAACGTGCTCTCTCCTAAACCCTCACGCAGCACAAGTGGGGGCCTCCTCTTCCAGCTCTGCCAGATGAAGCCCCTCGCAGGAAGTGCTCTCCCATTCACAGCACTGAAGCGAACCGTATTTTTGGGAAACTTCATTAAAAGGCATTTCTGGGTAATGAATATTTTTAGCACCATGTCTCCCAGTAAGAGAATGTGTGACACAGCAGCCAGAACGGGAATATAGAGCCACTTTTATACAGCATTTCTGCAAAACCCATTTTTTGCCATATCAGGGGTTCTCTCCGAGACGTGTACGAAATAGGAAGGAAAGGCAAAGAAACAGAACAAAACTCAGATGAAGGTAACAAAGAGGTGCATCACATACCCAGATGTCAACCTTTGGCCCATCGTACTCCTTGCCTTCAAAGAGCTCTGGAGCAGCATAGGGGGGGCTCCCACACCAGGTTTTCAGCAGCTGGCCAGGGGTGAAGATGTTACTGAACCCAAAATCTGAAAGGACAAAGAGTTCAAGGACCACGACCCATTCCAACTGTCCTAAAGAAAGGGTATTTCCATCACTTGCTGAGCCTAAGTCACCTTCAATCCTCTAAGAGAGACCTGATACAGCAGAGAAACAGGAGAGCAGAAGAGGCAAGAAGAGCAACACTGAAACCACCTGGACAGCGCAACTGCTCTTGTGCCAAGCCAAAAGATGACCAAGTGTTAACAGTGCCACTTCAGACTGTGAAGTGAACCATCTCAACAACCTGCTGCACAACACACACTGAAACCATCCTGCTTCTGCTGAGCAACTCAATACCCAACCTTCAGCTTCACAACTTCATCAGGGCCCGAGCGAGCACCAGCACGGACAGAACGTGACAAAGGGAAAACAAAGCAGGAGCTTTGATCTTCCAGAAAGCACTGCATGAGATGGAAGCTTTGGTTACAGGGAGATTTTCCAAAGAAAAAGAAAGAATCCTCACTAAATCCCTTGCTTTTTCACCTCGACTGAACAATAAAACCAAGTGGACAGTCAGAGAGGGGCCTCCACACCCTGTGACCAGGATGCCCTTAGAAGCAAGTGCCCAAAGGTTATGTGCAAAGTGCCTGTGCCTGTGCCAGCAGGAGGGCAGTGACATTAACACACACAGACGTTTGCCATGGCATTTGCACCAGCAGCAGCCCCTCGCTGCAGGATTCCATGAGGAATGCTGGAAAACAGGCGCCACAAACATTCACTTGGCAAATTCCGAGTGATTAAACCAAAGCATTGCGGCAAAAACACAGAGTGCAGCTGCAGGAAGGAGAAAGCTCTTATAAAGAGCTTAATTTTGACTCCCTCGGTGGTCAGAACCGCAGGGAGCTGGGGTAACACAGAGCTGAGTGCCAACCTGTCAGTGATACACAAGATCCCAGCACTGTGCAAGGAGATCCGGGCTGAGAATGTGCATTTTAATGATACAAATGGCAAAGAATACCCGAGATGCAAAAGCGCAAAGGTTTTCTTCCCATATCTTGAAATAAACACACATTCACCCTGAAGATTCACCTTCAGTTTTAGCTGCTTATTTCTCCTCAGTGCCTTTCATCCATGCTGCACAAGGTAAGCACTCTGGCACACATTCTTTAGCCATCAAGAAAGGTTTGTTCTCCTAAATCCCCCAGGAGGCATGGAAACCCCACTGGCACCCCACGGACAGCACAGTAACTGCTGAGCCTGTGCTCCCAATCACTGCATTCCTCACAGGATGTTCCATGACCTACTTCCAGGTGACTTTCCTATCCTCCTCCTTCAGGCAGCTCCTGCAGAGCCCAGCAGAGCCCCCAGCCCAGCTCCTGCTGAGAACAGCAAGCCTGCTAAGAGCCTCCAAAAGTGTATGGGGAGAGGGTTTGCAAATCCCCAGGGAGCAGCCAGGTCTCATTCCACAAGCAGATGCAGAGGGAAAAGGGCAGTTTGGAGGAGCAAGGTGAAAGTCACCACGGAATAGGGAGATATTTAAAGGAACAGCTCTGTGCTACAGAAGCAGACCCGATCCCTCACGTTTCCATAGAGGGAGACTCCAGCATCTGCACCACAGACGCTTCATCCTGGGAAGGTTGCAGGCTCTTGCACACAAATACACAGCAGTGCATAGATGACATTCCTCTGCAGCCATAGGCCGGGAAGGCCGGGGTGTTTAGCAACCATCTCAACTCCTGGCTGAACCCTCTGCCTGGGAACACCAGTGATCCCACTGCCAGAAGCGACTGACTCAGCCTCCGAGAAGGTACACTGGAGAAACAGCATCCATGGGAAAAATGAGCGTGAGGGCATCAGCGCTTCTGACTCCTGTTTATGGAAAACCAGTGCAGCTGCAATCAAAAACCCCAAACTCCACAAGTCCCCTGGCAGTCAGTGCTGAGTGAGAACAGCAGCACTGACCCGCTCCAAGGCTGCTGCACTGGCTTGAAGGTGCCACTTACTCAGTAAGGGATGTGAAGCTGCAAACAGGGGTCCGTAGTAGCTGCAGAAAGCCTGCCCAGGTGGGAGCCTGAAACTGCAGTTACACACCCCATCAGAGGCTGTGCTGTCAAGCTGGACTTGATGAGGTAGAGGGACAAAACGTGGTGCTTGGAAAACCCTCCCCATCAATCAGCTTTTCCAGGCTACTTTTCAACTCGCTACGACATCTTCTTGCCAAGTCAAACAGTGCCACCAGCAGGGTGGGAGCTGTCCTCTGGAGTCCCTTCCGGGAGCAGAGATTTGGAAGGAAAACAGTTCCCAGCTCCCTCAGATAAAACCCCAGAGTTGCCACGTTCAGAGCCTGTCAGTGTGCTCCTGTGGGCACTCGTGCAGGAATCCAGCCGCAACTGAGGTAGTTTGGAACTCCTATTTCCTGGTGTCCTGCACATGGGTTAGATTTTACCCCACGAACACAAGATGGCCTCAGATCATTAGTGCATCCGTGCACACAGCACAGGCCACAAAGTGCTGTGTCAGCAGCAGGCTCTTGCTCATCTGCCCGCAGAGCGGCGAAGGGCAGGTTACCACCCTCGTGCCAGGGAGGACATGGTTCACACTATTAAGCGTCCAGAGGAAGTGTCAAAGTCCTTCACTTCCTTCCCTGTTCCCTCCTCACAAAGCAAGGATGAGAGAAACCTAGGAAACTATTAACCATTTTATACTACAAGCCAAGCGTTCAGCTCTCACCTAACACCTACAGATGGTACAGAAGAGAAAGCAACACAAGGAACGGACTCCCCGAGTGCCGCTTCCCCTTCGCTGCTCTGCCATAGACACTGCCAGCCCTGCTTTGCCATTCCTTCTCTCTCCCCCCAGCCTGACCTGCTTCAGAGAAGTCCTAAATGGGCAGCAGGACTCAGACCAAGGTCAATAGTTTAGTATTAGCCTCGCCCATTACCCAGTGTATTGGAACACCACCGTATCTGCAGCTCCATATGTGCCTATGAAGCCAAAACTGCTTTTTGTCCTCCTTCTATTTTGCACTACTTGAAGGCAGATATAAATCTCCTGGCTACAACCTGGCAGCTCCAGCCCTGGGCAGCAGGCCACACAGAAATCCAAAGCTTCCTTTAGCTGCACTGCGCTTCCTTCGCTGTGAATACCTGGAAGCAGCCAATGCCTACATTTATTAACTCCTGAGAGCAGCTGCCTTCCTCCCGCCCCACCAGGCTGAGCTCACCTGCTATTTTGATGTTGAGGTTCGCATCCAGGAGCAGGTTTTCTGCCTTCAGATCTCTGTGGACGATATTGCGACAGTGACAGAAGTTGACAGCAGCCACGATCTGCTTGAACTTCCTCCGGGCTTCCTTCTCCGCCATGCGGCCGTGGGCCACCAAGTGATCTGCAAGGGATGGGGTGAGGAACAAGGGGTTATTCACACAGGGGCTCCTCACGTGCCTGTGACAGTAACACGGAGGATGCAGATGGGCAACAACGTGGGCGCCAGCCTGTTTTCATGGCTCCAGCACCAGATGGGGTCAGTGCTGAAGCTGCATGGGAAGGATCCAGCACACCACTGCCACACAGCCCCCCCTGAGCTGTCCCAGCGTGAAAGGCTTTGAAGTGATCAACTTTCCTCTGTATTTGTGCTTGGGATTGCCCCAGCACAGGGGCAGGACCTTGCACTTGGCCCCATTGAACACAGGCTCACCTCTTGAGCCTCCCCTTCATTCCACTGCCCTAAACTGGAGGGTTTGATAAAGACACCTTGAAAACAACAAAACCCCGTGGCTTGTGAAGGTTCCTGCTCAGGAGCTGCCGTTTTCCCAGTGCCCCATTAACTCCAATACCCGTGACATAACTGCCTGGCAGTAAACACCAATTACTGAGCTCCAGCAGAGCAGCTCTGCCGGCTCCGGAGCCACAGCAGCCTCCTCCTCACGGCTCACTCCTCGTGTTGTGCAACAGAGTGAAGCTGGGTTTCAAAGAACTTGTCAATTCAGTTGTAGTCATCAGATAAACTCCTTCCACAAGCAAACCTGAGGCAGGGCCAGGGAGGGAAATCCATCACCAATCCCAACATGACCCTCCATTCACCTGCTAGGAAAAGCAACATTTACTCTCTCAAACAGCCCTGTCATATCTCATCAAGTCAGTCGCAGGGTCATACATGTTCTAGTCTGAGGAGCTGAGCTGGGAGGCCGATGAGCAGAGTTAAGCAAGGGCCTGCTCCAGTTTAACCACTGCCACCCATCAACAGGCACAGCTCAGCTCCTGAACAAGTCAAGGGCATTCCCACCGATTGCTGCGCGTGAATCCGGGAGCGCAGGCTGCTGATACAGCAGAGTGCAAGGTTCCAACCTCTTGACATTCCTCAAAGTAGTCCTGAGGTTCTCCTGCAGGCAAGGAATCAAATCCACTGCTACAGGAGGAGTCTTTCTACACACCTCTCCAAGGGCAGTTTTCCCAGCCCAGGTTCAGTGGTCCCCACATACGGACGTTCAGTTGTCCTTCTTCCGAGCCAGCCGTGCTCCAGCTGCAGGATAGGCTGAAATGCCACTTTTCCTGAGGAGAAGCGCTTGGAGCCGGTCCCCAGGCTCTGCACGTAGGCACAGCCCTCAGACCACTGACATTTCTGTCCAAGCTCCAGAGGAAGGACAGAAACAATGAAGCTACAGAATACTCCACATACCACCAAGGGCAAGTGCGTGCCAAAATTAACCATTGCCAGCTTAGCCTGCACTAACCTCTCGTGCTGCAGGGGTTACAGAGACGAGCCTCGTGCTCAGCTGGGAGCCAGCACGCTGATCCAGGGCACAGCCTGGCTGCTCTCTGTACTCCTGTGAAGCACCCGATGGTGCCCTCTGCATTAAAGAGCCCCACGCTGAGGAAGAAGCACCTTCTGGTCAAGCGACAGGGCTGACACACAGGTTCCCACTCTTTGCCCCTGGACAGACTCCACACACTTTCAAGTTGCTTTCTGTCTGGAAGGCAAACGCTGCTGAAGCTTCACATCTCCTCCCTGCGCTGGATTACGTCCCATTTCCAGTGTACTTGGTGACCCTGTGATCCCAGAAGCAGCCTGACCTTGTAGAGACTGGTACCACTTTGTTTAACGCCAGAGAGCTGAGGATCAGTGGTGGAGATGGGGCAGAGGCACAGACAGGCTCACCACGTGAACCAGGGAAGTGCTGCTGAGCACTTTTGTCAAGCAAGCAAGCACCCACGTTCTTGTGAGGGCTGCAGGTTAGTTACAGAAGCCACAGGAAACAGCAGAACTCAGACCAGGCTTTCAGACCGTGTTCTGTTTGACCTCGCAAGAGGGACACTCGAGATACCTGGAACAAAGAGCACCCTCTGTTTAAAAGGAGCCATCCATTTGTTGGTGATGTCAAAGCAGAGGCCCAACCGCACGCAGAACATGCACAGGGACAACCATAACAATTTACATTTTGGTGCTTAAGCCCCCAGCAAAAGCCAGGCTCCTCCTGGCCCCACGCAGCCTTACAGGCAGGGAGTTATCACAGTGCTTCCAGGAACAGGAATCAAAGACACTTCATGGCTCTGCTCGGCCACCAAAGGAGCTCTGAGCCCTTCTACTGACAACTCAGATACACAGGTTGCAAAGCTCTCCCAGGACTCCAACCAAGGAGCCAGAGAAGCCTCCAACCAGACTGAAACCAAGGCCATGTAGAGAAAGTACTGTTCCTTAAACTACGGATTCCAACCTGTATTACTGCCTGTGTAGCACTGACAGCTCTATGGTACAGTTTAAGCCCTTGAAGGCGTTTAAAGCACTAAGGAAAACGACTCAGATTTGCTTCTAACAAAACTTGCTCTGAAAAGGACGACTGTAACTCAAATGATACGAGTGCCACGAGCCGTGGTGGTCAGCCCCTGCCCCTGCCCCTTCTGCGGCTCGCCTTTAAAACCTTGGTCAGGCAGACTTCAGGAGAGAACCAAGAAAAAGAGCCGAGAGATCTTGCACAAGCACACGTAACAGAGAGGGTTCCCCAGTCACAACTGCCCTTCTCTGCACAACATGAGGACGTGAGATTCTTCAGCACAGGAGATGCTAATGACCGCGAGGAAACCTTCCCAAAACGGGTTGCTGCTTCCTCCCTCTAAATTGCTTCCGCTGGTAGAACAAAGTCCTAATGGCTCCTCAGGAAACCCTGATTACAAGAAGCTGAGGCTTCAGTTTCCCCCTCGGCTCGAACCACAGCGCCTGAGAACGCTCAAACCCAGCCACTGGGGGCTTTGCTCTGGAAAAGCCTCTGTGCTGTTCCAGAGCTGGCTGCTCCCAGCTACCCACAGGATAAATGTTGGGCAGTGTAATGGAAATTAGCCATGCTAATGAGCTGAATTTACTACAGCATGAAGTAGTGCAGAAAGCAATTAGATTTGCACTTCGGCTCATGGAGAAGGCTATTTTTGTAAGCAAGAGAATTCATTCCAGGCTTGTATATGAGCTTGCACATAGTTCTGCATTTAAAAAAAGATGAGCCCGTCGCTGCCAAATGCGACAGAAGAGGGAGAAAGTAAGGAGTGATTTATGCTCTCCTGTGGTGATCCACATGCAAGCGAGCTCTTAGGCACATTCAAGTGACTGCTGCACAAGGCAAGAGGAGTCTCAAGCCTCCGGAGCTGCTGTGTGCCCCACACCATGATTCATGCTTGAGGAGACAACTGGGAGGCTCAGCTGGAGGAAGTCAGGTTTCCACAAGGCCATCCACAACATCAGCTGTCACTTGCTTCTTCCTTCAGCTGTCACCTTCTCAGAGAGGAAGCCCAAAGGGGATGGACCGCGCTGGGTAGAAGCCACGACAACCATCTACAAAGGTACTGAGGACCTGGAAAACAGCTCAAGTCGGCTCTGCCTGAATTTGAAGCTTCTCTTGCTTCACTAAGAGCTTCACCTTTAACTACAAGGCAGCCTCCTGCAGCAAAGTCAGAGGTCCTGACACTGAAAGTCAATCTTCTGCAGTGGCTCACGAGGAAAAGGAGGAGAGCAGCTCCGTTTAGCTGACAGACTGTACGCGACTGTCCTCCCAGGGACACTCCCTGCAAGCAGACTGAAGCCTGCTCCAGTCAAGCACGAAGGATTTCCCCCTTTTCTGCATCTCACATGGGTGGAGCTAGTAGAGATCCCAGCGTGCACCAGTACTTCCATCTCTACAGGTTTTCATACTGGTCATGGCAATAAAACAAATGAAGGGATCAGCCACCAGCTCTTGCACTTGCGTCTTTTCCTGTAAAGAACAGCTTCTGTGGTCAAGAAAGCTCAGCCAAAACATTGTTAGCAGACAATGGAGTTGAAAATGGATGTAACTAACACAGGCTAAGATAACATCAGGTATCCAGAAGATAAGAACACGCACGGCTCTGGGAACAGAACACTGCAGAGCCACAGGACCGCCTGTTTCTTTGAAAGCCACTAACAAACACCAACGTTTCCGCTCTCGTCAACAAGCTTCATGCAACTTGCTGGAACCAAGTGTTCAGCAACACTTCCAAAGCCAGCCAGGTGACTATTCCCAACACCTGTAATCCCAAAGTCAGCATCAAAGCAGGGCAGCACCTGCCAATGGAACCCAAACAAGCAGCAGAGGTTACGGAAGGGACTTTCCCACCAAGTTGGTATCATTTATTTCTCTACTCCTGTTGTCAATGGAAAGTTTTCAGGCTGAAGGGCATCCCTCAGCTGCAGCAAGAGAGCGTGGCAGCTATTTTCAGTTTACTGGAGCTGACCGAGTGCATTATCTGATTAAAGAATGCAGTAAATGTACTCACCAAATATTTCCCCTCCACTGGCGTACTCGGTCACTAGATAAATCATCCGCTCCGTCTCCATGACCTGGGCACAAGGACAGAGAAGGGACACATTAAGGACACTGCCCTCTGCAAAAAGTGTAGCTAAATAAGAACTGACCCTTTCCATAGCACGTGTAACTGCTTTCATCGAATCAACAATATTAACTCTCCTGTGCCAAGGAGCAGACGAGGAACTGGGGCACGTAAGAATCAAATGGCAAGCTCTAAACAGTGATGCTGTAACTAAACACACTTCACTTGTGCCTTCCTCCCCTTTTCCTTGCCCTCCCTTTAGTGTTTGCTCCCCTGGAAGACTTCTCAGGGCTGCCACAAGGGAACCAGTTCACCTTCCCAATCACCCAGGCCACTGCAGGCACTAAAACCACCACCAATTTTGCGAAAGGGGGAACATTCACTGAATCAAGAAGTGACTTTGGAATGAGCCAAGATCCATCAGACATGAGCAGAGCAGAGGCTTTGCTTCAGGGAGCCCTGGGTGTTTCAGCCAGGTAACACCCCTCTTGTAACACACATCTGTAGGAGTCTGACAGGGCATTGGGGCTGCAGCAGCCCAGTGTGCCAAGGCCACCAGTTTATGCTGGAGTTGGGAGTCCAGAGCCTGTCACAGCGAGTTTAAAAGTGCCACTTATTCCAGATTCCTACTGAAAAGATGTGAAAGACTCTGAAACACCAACTCCAGGGTTTAGTAGTTCGTTATCTAACAATCAATGTCACTGGATGCCCAGGAAGATCAGACAGGGTGGAACACCCTCTGCAGTGGGTGCTCCTCCCTCACTTTAGCAAATCCCAGCCACAAGTGTCACCTGCCCAGTGTCATATCAAAACCATACATGGAATAACCAGGTTGCCAAAGGGCTTATTAAAGAGGAGTCCCTTTGCAAAGCAGCATTGCCCAAGTACCTGCAAAACGCTGCAGCTCTGGAGCGTCTGCTGTAAGCATCTTGGACTCTTGTGGTTTGGCCTAAAGAGCTAAACATTAACCTCTGTCACTTCTACTCAGCTTTAACTCCTTGGAGTCCAACTAAGTGCTCACATCCATCAGGCAGAGCTGAGCAGCACACAGGGCTTGAACAGACAAGCCCACCGAACCTGGCAGTTCTGACCAGCTCTGGCAGGACCCTGGGAAGGGGACTCCATCCGACAGCTTCCAGAACCAGGACTGCACGCAATAGAGGAGAGCGTGTACACAGCTTTTGAGCACTCCTCTCTAGATGTAAGGCCCTGCCTGAGCCCTTGTATCAGAAAAGCCCAGGGAAGGAGTCTTTCATCTGGCCACCAGCTCCCAAAGCAGCATTTAATGGTTCACCAAGGGGGTGGCCTTGGTGAACCCTCTGCTCCCACCACACTGGTGCTGTCTTGTGTGTCCCTGGCCTGCTGCAACCTCCCCGCTGCTCTATTTGATCGTTCAGTCGCAGGGGCACCACAACCACATGCGTCAGAGGCATCACACGTGGGCTGTGCCTCTGGTGGTTCTGTTTGCACACCAGGAATGCCAAACAAGCCGGAGAACAAGTCTACAAACAATATTCCCAGGTGCTATTGATCACCTTCCAGGCAAGCAGGGAGGGATCAGGAAGTCCTTGGGCCACAGGGTAAATGGTCAGAGAGAGGGGAGCAGGGGAGCTCTGTGCTAGTGGGTGAGACTTACTTGCTCCCTTACACAGAGAAGGGGAGCCCGCATCCGGTTTCAACTGGGAAGCTGAAAAGCACACAATAGCCATAAACAAATGGCAAGAGGCCAGCACACAGCGGAAGCATCATCTCCCAGAAAGAGGAGGATCAGCCACACTTTCCCCCTGCTCCCTCAATCAAAATACTCCGAGACCTTGGAAACAAAGGACTTTCCCAGTACTTCACGCAGGAGAAACAGAGGGATAACTCCAGAGAAAGCACTACGAGACAGTGTAAAGCTATAGTACAAAGGGGCAGAAAACACACCACAGGGAGTGCTCCTACCTGGTATAACCTGATGATATGTGGGTGGCAAAGCATCTTCATGATCTGAACTTCTCGAAATATCTTCTTCAGGTTCTCTTCATCCAGCTGGGTCTTATCGATTATCTTTATGGCCACCTAGCACAAGGGGAGAGCAGGACAGAGGTCACTGACCCATTTTCAGAAGCAAGCCCTGCCTGCAAGCCCTGCTGCACTGAACAGAATACACAGTCCCTGCCTCAGAAAGGCTCCAAGCAGCCTCCCAGAGCCCAGCACCTTGCCAGGAGGTGGGCAGGAAGCAGCTTTGTTTCCTACCTCTTGGGGTATTGTCCCTACAGAGAGGACCTGTTTGCGAGTAGGGTGCAGAAGGGTTTTCGGGCTCCTGTTACCACAGTACACCCCTTAAAGTCTCTCTAGCGTTGGAGACTTCTTCTCTTCCCTCTGCCTTCCCTGAGCATCCTTCCTCAGCCCCGGCAGCTCCCAGCTCTCTGGGGCACAGACAGTGAAACCACCCAACTCCAAATGGGGAGAGACCCCCTGTGCTGGTGATGCACAACCAGAAGGATGTGACCCAGGAGCCCAAAGCCCAGTTCCAGAAGTGCCTTGCTCTGAAAAGCCTCTGGTGTGCACCAGGGACAAGTGCTCTGTGCCACTGTGGCACACGATCCAAAACACATCTCCTCCTCCTCCTCCAGTGCCAAACCCCAAGTGCAATGCTAAGTGATGCTCTAACAGGCACGGTGCTGCTTGGAGGCAAACAAACGACAGGATCATCAGGGTCTTTAAGGGAACAATCTGAAGCACGTGAGAATTAAGCTTCATTTCCTACACTGAAACCCCCGCCAGGGGAATAGCTGCCCTGCATGTACCACAGCACAGCACAGCCCCAGCAAGGCACAGGCACAATAAGCTGGTTCTTTCCTTTGAAACCTCTAATTCCGAGCCCAGGAAGGGCTCCAGGCTCCCAAGTCAGGGAGCACGCTTCCGACAGCAGCCCTGCGCCGTGCGGAGCCAGGCCTGGCACTGGGCACCAGGGGCTGCTGGCAGGGCCGGGGCTGGAACCGGAGCCAGAGCCGAGGTGAAGCCCTGGACCTGTGCGGCTGCCAGGCACTAACAGGCAGTGAGTAACAGGGTGAGGAGCTGCTGCTGCTCCTCGGGGCTGCCACGGCCGCTGGTTGGGGTGTTCTGCACCACACAGCTCCAAGGACAGCGCTCAGGAGGGGACTGGGAGAGCTGAGAGCCAGAGGGGCACTGGGAAGCACCCACTATGTGCTTTTCACCAAGGATTATCCCTGCAGGAATGAGCTTTTGTAAAGCTTAAAGTGACGCGTGTGTATATAAAAAGCTAAGAGGCACTTCCTCAAAGAGCAAATCCAAAACGTCTAAGAGACAGGAGTCATTTTCAGGCATAAATACATGAAAGCCCCACTGATGTGGAGTATTCCAAAGCTACTTACTCATTTCCCAGCTCTACAGTCACTCAAAGGAAATCTCATTTCCCAGCTTAATTATATGACTGGAGTTGACACTCGTGGTGGAGTTCAAGGGATACAGAACATCGGATTGAATGGAGCTCAGTGGGGAGGGCCAGAGAGAACAGAACCCAATCCCTCCGGTCTTGTCTCTGATAACACAGCAGGCTGCTGTCCCCCTGCCTGCCCCACGCTTGTCACCTCACTGCACTGGGGGCTTTACATGTGGTGCAGAGGAACACACACAGCAGGCAGGAGATGTCCTCACGTGAAGGACCATACTGTCTGTTAGGCCAAAGAGTGGCCCTTGAACACACCTGCATCCTTGGGGGAGATGAGGAGGGACCTGGCCCTTCTGGAGGGGTTCCTTCCATGTGTTTTCCTCCCGTCCCAGTGCCTCCAGTGACTGCTGTGAGATGAAAGGTAAAAGGCTCCTGAAAGCCCTGGCCAAAGCACCTCGTGCTCCGGTTTCAGGAAACTCGGAGCTTCCCCACAAATGTGCAAGGGTGGAAGTATGAAATCCCCACAAGGGAAAGCACAGGGATCTCAGGAGTCCATCGTATTTCCAGGTGTTTCTTCCCCTGGAAACACTGCTCCCTATTTCCACGATCTTGAGCGGTGTGCACGTCAGGCAAGAGCCTGGTGAGCAGCAGAGCAAGTCTGACCCAAAGCAACGGGGTAGTTGGAGAACTAAAGGAGTGGAAGTGAAACTCCAGGAGGCAAAAGGGCAGGAGCAGGTACCATGGATGTCAGGGCATGCCACGGGAAGTCACGAGGAGCAGAAATGCCATTTCAGGCCCAAACACTCCAAAATGTTCCTAGATGGGAGCTCCCACAAGCCCAGGCTGCCCCTTCTGCGGTAAGCACCAACCCTTTTCTGCATCCCAGCACGTGCAGCCTTTGCATTTCCTGTTCTCAAGCACACAGGCTTCTCCTGAAGCTCCCCCAGCATCACCAGAAACACAACTGTACATCCCGGATTTGCCCCAAGACACCAGATTTGACACCCTGGTAGTTACCAGGGCTGGAAGATCACGGCCCGGGCGAGAGGCTCCTGCAGGAGGCAGGGCAGAACGAACATCCATATCGACATCCTGTTTATGAGCCGAGCGTGGCGAATATCCCTGCAGACTTCCTCGAATCCACGGTGCCCTGCCAAGGGCAGGGAAATGAACTGCCACGTGCCCAGGGGAAGGGCAGGAGCCATGCTCGGGACTACGGGAAAAGGGGAATAAAGGGAGAAGCAGAGTGTGGTTTCATGGGAAGGACCCATAGGACAGTGCAGTCTCCTTCCCCTCCTGTGCAGTGAACACAGGGAAAAGCTAAGGACCCTGTCCTAGGCTAACACCTAGGACTTCACGCCACACGTTTGCTCGGATCCAATTATAACTGTAATTGAACTATAATTAAGCTTTCCTGCATGGATGATCATTCCGTGAAGAAACCACCTTTTCCATTTCAGTCGTTTCTGTAGCAGCTCCACTTGAAACCAGGAGAAGCCCCACTTCTTTGGGAACAGAGCACGCGAGCAGCCTCATCAGTAATCCCTACACAAGTGGAATCGGGCCAGGAAGCGTTGCCACAAGTCAGCAATTGATCTCCTCAGTGTAACAAGAGCCAACAGATGGCACCGGCAAATTGACTGCACGGAAAGCAACCAACATGTTGATTTAGGAGAAACACTTCCTGCAATTGTTCCGAGGCGTCCTCCCGCTCCCCATCCCTGCTGGAACACCCTCACTGAGCGCGCACCGCGTGTGCCCTGCTGCAGGGGAACACGGCCATGGGTCCGGGTTCCTCTCTTACTCCATGGCTGGCTCTGGAGCAGGTCTTTGGGCTACTGAAGGAGTAAGCCTGGAGAAGGCCAGTCTAAAGGCACGGACAGGACCTGAATTCCTTCCACAGCACAGCCCAGCAGCCCTCTCCTTCCTCTCCACTCCACTCCAGCCTTGCTGGGATGCCAACAGGAGCTGTCAGAGGGCTGACAGCAAAGCGCTCCTCTTTCCAGCTGCTTCTGCCTGCCAGGGACACTTGGGAAGCTCCAAACACGACGACCCCTTTGGATTAAGCAGCTGTTGGAGGGGTAAAAATCACTCCCACAAGCAGATACTGACGCTGCACAGGACCTCTGGGAGAGCTCTGGTGCCAGAGAACAGAGTCAAGACAGAGGCAGGGGGAGACAAAGGAAAAGCTGCTGCAGTGCCTCCTGCAATGGCACCTCCTGCCCCACGCTGCACGCCCCAGTGTCCTCACACACCACAGCAGCTCAGTGCGGAGCTGTCACTGTAGCTGTCACTTGTCACCAACATCACCGTCCTGCAGGGATGGCTGGCTGGCAGAGGCACATGCTCTTCAGACCGGCTGTCACAAGCCTGCCTGGCTGCTAAGGGGCACTGAAAGCCAGCACTCTGCATGCAAGCAGGCAACTGGTACAGGTTTTACCCATAGGAAAACACTCAACAGCAGAGATGTGCTCTGCAGTCCTTACACACCCAGACAATGGCCTGTCACCAGACCAGAGAGACCTCTCTCAACAAGCTCCTGGGCAAACAAAGGAGTTACCCCACCAGCAGAACCCCCTCATTCAGGGGTGCAGCAGATAAAGCCAGGCCATTCCACAGCCAAAGTGGGGGCTTTGGAGGTGGCACAAACAAATATTGCCAGCAGCTGAAAGCAGGAAACCGAGGACCAAGATGCACCCAGCAAAGTGTGTTTGCTCAGGAAGGAAGTTATCACCGTGTCCACATCCCTCTTCACAATCAATGCAGTGACTTGTGCCTCGCACAAGGTGAAGGAAACCCCAATGGTGTTTTGGGAAAAGTCAATACACACAAACCCTTGGGCCCGGTGCAGTGTTAATGCCCTGCTTGTGAGCGCTGTGCTCCGCTGTGACCCCTCCCCGATCCCAGGGGAATGGGTCTGGATTTCAGTGGCAGAAGCACAGACCCCACATTGACGCCTGCAGCTCTGCTAAACCCAGTGGGGACAATCTCATCGTTCCAGGGCATGTACAATGGGATGGAGCCGAGGGCAAGAGTACAGGAGTGGGGCACAGTCACACAATTCCCACCTCTTTTGAACCCCTCCAGCTTTACCCATGCTGTGTTTACGCTGCAACTGACCTCTCCATCCTCTCGCTTAGAGCCTTGTTACAGGAGGAGGAAACCCTCTGCTCCCCAGCTTCAGCGGATGCTGGTGCCAGTGATTTGTTTCTTTAGTTCAGAAGCCGTATAAAATCACTGTAATGCTTAACAGATGCAACTGTGAGAACTTCACGGGGGTCAGAGCCGTGCATTAGAGGTGGTATGGAACATTATTTCTTTATCCTAGTCAAGGAAAAAGGCAAACTATACCCACAAATGCCAGCCCCCCGTGATGGCCCAAGCTACTACACTAAAACATGTCCACATGTCCATCTGCAGACAGCAGGCAAGGAAAGCTGCCTGCCTACTGCTGTGATTTCATTGAACTCCTTCATAAGAACACCTAAGAACCAGGGTTAAGCATTAGCTGAAGCCAAAGGGACAGAAGCTCAAGTAACAGGCAGGTAAAGGCTCCTGTCTCAAGAACGCTGGACCCCCCAGCCCAGCTCCTTGGTTTAAGACTCACTTCTACCTCCTGCTCTTTGATCTAACACGAGACTTCCTAGGGCAGAGACGGAGATCTCCACGAACAGCACGTGCTGTGACCCGTGCGCAGACCTCACACTGCAAATCAGGCCACTATCTGGTCAAATCTCAGCTGAGCTGCAGGTGTCAAACCCAGCACACAGATGTTGGATGCAGCTTTTGCTTGCAGCATCAGCAACCACAGGGGCTCTGATGAAGCAATGCAAGTGCTGTGTGGCTTTGCTGGAGTGAAAGGAGTGAGAAGAGGGCAGTGAGCACCGCTGTGCTTCAGCCCTGTGCTGTGCTGACAGCACTGCAGCACTACCTCCGTGGCTCCTGTGCAAACCAAACACCATCTTGGCACTTACTAGACAAAGACTGCACTTGCTAATTAAAACCGGTTTCTGAATGAGTTCAGTTAACCCGGCACAGGGCCTTACGGAGGAGCATTTACATGGATGTAAAGCAGTTCACACATCAAACGGGCAGATCCTGGTCACGTAAGCCTGGCTATGGTGTGTAAGCCGCAGCCTGCACTCTGCACACAAGTGAAGCCAAAAGGGGAATCAAAGCCTGGGAAGACACTTGCTCACCTTGGTCCCTTTCAGCACGGGTCGTCCTCCATCTGAGGGCACCTTCAAACTGGTTCCTCAATCACTCTCCTCCCATAAAGTCATTCAGCAGCTGAACTCCTGTCCAAAGCCAGCAAGGTCGGGCCATGCCTGTGCAATGTGGCACCAGCCTCCTTTAAATGAAGGGGAATGGAGGAAAGGCCGGGGGAAACGTGGTGACAACACAGGATGTTCCTGCCTTTATCTGCCCCATTTCCCATCAGGTAAAGCAGCGCACATCGCTCTGCACTGCATGTAGGAGGGGAAGCACAAAGCAGCTCATGTGTGCTCAGCTCCGCACCTCGGCAGTGATGGGAAGAGCCGAGCATCCAAGGGGGATGGAGCAGGATCCCGCAGGAGCCCGGGCTGCCAGGAAGCACAGCAGCAAGAAGGGGAGGGAAAGCTGCTGACGAGCACCGCAACCATCTCTCAACAAGCCAGAGCAGCAGCTAGTTCTTAATGACAAGAGCAACACACAGTAAGGGTGGCTCTGGTTCAGCTCCCCAGTCTTCCACACAGCACAAGAAATCCCATTGCTGTAAGCTGCCAACAGGAAAACTAACTGGCAATGGATCAGGATGTGCAGCAGTCACAGGGAGCCTTTGCAGTGGCTTCCAACTGATTTCCTGAGGCTCCTCAAGGGTTAAAGCAGAGCACTTCTGGAAGATATTAGGCACTGATGTCTTGGCTTCCCCTCTGTACACAGCAACAGCCTCCAGAGGAATCTGTCATCCCATATAACAATCCCTTTCACTCACCCTGCGCCTCGCCACAGCCCGAGCGGCGGTGGCTCCGTGCGGAGCTGCGACACGGAATCCTGCCCACATTCCAGGGAGGAGGTTCTGCAGCACACACAGCACTCCTCATGTGTACTTACATTAACTGCAGCTCTGTTCTGAAGGGTAACAGCTCCTGCTTAAAGAAGGCTGTAGGAACATTAACTATCACATTGGGATTGCAAGAGTATCAGAGAGAGTCTAAAGCAACGGCTAAGATGGGACTGCATATTCCATCAAGTCCATCTGGGAATACCTGTAAGGGTTGTCTGCTCTATACCAAAGTCAATCTACTTGGATATTCAATATATACCATGGCAGTAGGCAGCACTACAGCACACGCCTGCAGAAGAGGGAGTTATGCTGTAATATTGGACAACTCCATGACTGCCAAACCCCAAACTCTTGGGGTATCCCGGGAATCACAGGCACTTCTCAAAGGGTCTGCAGGCAGCCCAGCTCCCACAACCCCAGTGAGAACACCAAACACCCTACACCAAGGAACCAGCACCAAGCAATTGCCAGCTTCACCACCAGTGACAGCATCACCTTTATTGCTGAGGCTATTCCAAGGTGCTAACTGCACCACACCACAGGCTCTGGAGCAGGAAGGGTACAGCAGGATACAGCAGGATGCCGGATCTGGATGATGCACTCAGATCCTTGGAGGCTGGTTTCCAGCAGAGGTTTTGCCTCACAATCAGATGGCAGTTTCTATGGGAACAAACAAGCAGCAGCCCCGTCACCAGATGCCTCACACAGGCCCTGCCTTGGAGAGGCACACGCAGGGTCCCGGCCAGGCTGCTCCATGCTGGGAATGCCGAGGGCAGCGCATGTCTGCGGGCTGGTGTGTACCCACTGCTCAGCAAGACTGCTGGCCACAGCACCAGTGCATGCCCAGCAGCACGAGGATGCTCTGGGTGAGGTTACCAGCTCTGAGGCACAATGACAACTGATATGCCCAAAGTAGTACCAGTACAAAGCCCATGCAGTGGTTTTGCTCCAAGGAGCCCGGTGCCTGTGTGCACATGAGGCACCAATACATCCGCCGTCACAGAATAAACTCTGGTTTCACATCAACAGGCCAAAACGTCACAATTTCCATCAGGCACAGACCACAGCACAAAACCATTCTCCTCCCAAAGCCATCACCTCTGGTCACTGCCTCCACCCCCAAGTTAATTAAAGCTCCCCCAGTGAGCTGCTTTAGGAGGGTTAACGTCACTGTCAGCAAGACGGTACCACTCTCCCCTGGGCCTGAGAAGAGCCACGGCTGCCTCAGCCCCGCATTGCAAACAGGAACATTCAGACTCCAAGGTTCCAGCATCAGCACCCCTCGCTCCAGAATGGTTATGAAATGAAGTGGAAATTTTGGGGAAGAGAAGCCAAAAGTGAAACTAAGGAATGCAACCTTCCCCACATTAACCCTCAGTGACCAGGATAAACATCCCAGCCACGGAGAGCCCTTTCCTCACCCGATGCTGCACGTGCTTTGCAGTAGAAGCAAAGCAGACGGTGCTGGTGTGAGCAGCACTGATTGGGCAACGCTGCCCTGCCCCATGCCCCTGCACCTTCATGTCTCATTATTTGCAGTTATTCATAGATATGCACTAGAGAGATTGAAACCAGTGACCTTAAAAACCTCAACCTGTCCCCAGCAGCACCTCTACAGGGAGGTGGCAGTGCCCATAAAGCAGCACATCCAAGGAATGCCTGGCCGGGATCTCCCTCCACCACCACTCATCCTGCCCTGCAAGGGATGCTACTCAGGACAGAGCCTCTGTGGGCACTGAAGGAAAAGCAGTGTTTAATCTCCACGTGGCTGATGTGGAGCTTTAGGAAGGTTGCTTCTTCCCCCAGAAACACAAGGGTTAGGCTAAGATTGAAGCTTGTTTTCCAACACAGCAGCCTGACAGGAATTCACAGCAGTAACTGCACAGAGCAGTGTTTTAAAGCATCCCCTCTCACTTCGGTGTAGCTCTGAATTCCAACACTCCGGCAGCCTACAAGCCACTTCCAACAATAGTATCTGATTCCCCTTATCAGTAGGGATTGCTTAAACCCACAGATAAGGCTCTCAGGAGCTAAAACCTACTTCAAAGCCAAACCATGACAGAGCACCTGCACTCTCACAGCAACTGGGAAGGCAGATGCAAGGTGTCCAGGGGGTTTGCCTGCCCTCAGCACCAACGTGTGCCAAGTAACCATCACTGCACCCCAGCTCTGATTTACAGCAAGGGACAAGGGCTATTTCTGGAGCACAGACAGGGCTATTTTGAAGGCAGCAATAGTGTTGTAGTACCCAAATTCTAATTGTGGCTGCTGCTTTGCTTTGCCACCGTAAATCCTGTTCTGAGGGAGTAAGACAGCAGCCAATACACGAGCGTAGGCATTGCACAACTGGGCTTCTGCAGGCACTTGGTGTGAAGCAGAATGTGCTTGGAAGACTGAATTTCTAGGGAATGTTTAAACACTGAAGAGTAAACACTGAGTCAGAGGCGAGCACTGCATCCAGGTGAAGGCAGCAGGGGCACGTGGAAGCAAAGCCACAGCCTGGAGTTCACTCAATGCCTCCCCTTGTACATGGGAATTCAGGGCCCGACGCAGGACAAAGCCTCTTTTATACGTGCAGAAGCTGCGAGGAAACAAAACCCAAACAAGTAAAGCCCATCTACGGGGGGCTTACAACAGGTCTGCAACACAGCTCGGTGTGCCTCAGCCTGGGCGTTCGAGCAGAGGGGCCAGACACAAGTACTCCCAACTCCAGGAAGGGAAGAGGGGGGATGCTCATCTCAAGCGCGGCTGGTACCTTAGTGCACAGCAGGTATTGTTCCTTCCACCCAGGCAGCCACCTCAGACTCCAGCAGTTTTCCCATTTCATGGCATTCCCCATTTCCTGCACCAAGCAGGGCAGGAGCACCAGCACCAGCACATCAGCAACACATCCACTTGTCCTTTCAGCAGGCTATTTACTTTCACAAGAACAAAGGGACGCAGCTATTGACTTACTGCACCTTACTGCAGCACAGCAAGCTGTGCATCAGGGTAACTCCCCAGTTCACACAGACAGAAGTAGGTATTCCCTAAAAATTCCTTTGTCCATAAACCGCACAGGAACAGGCATTGCTGGTACCAGACCACTCATCCCAGCGTGCACCACCAGGAAGCAGTGCCCTGTGTGATGGTACCCAGCAGCACCCAGCTTCCCTCCTTGTGTCCCAGCAAAGCGCAAGCTGCTCTTGGCTGAGGGATTCCTGCTCCTTAAGAGGGGAAGAGCCCACAGACGGTGCTCTGCAGCCCATGTGGGAAGCGAGAGAGGCAGGGTGGGCAAGCTGGAGCCACCAGAACTGCTCTGGCTCCTGACCGAGGAGCCTGAGAAGTGGGCAGTGGCATCCATTTGTTTAAATCACCTTCTGCAGCCGTGCTCCACACGTGGGAACAACCCGGCGCTCTGGCAGCCCGAAACACAAGCAGGAGGAAACTGCTCCAGGATGCACATCTGCAGCTCCCAAGGAGCACACGGAGAGGCTGCCAAGTCGGGATGGGAGCTGCCTTACACGGCTTCTATAAGGAACTCGTACGGCAGCACAGAAAGGTACCCGTGGAGCTGCACAGAGGTGCTGTAACCCCAAACCCCTGCACAGGGCTGCAGGGCTGTACGTAAGCGCTACGCAGCTCTGCTGAGCACATACTGAACCCATTCCACAGCTCCTCGGGATCTGTGCCATTGGAGATCCTTACGCAAGGCCCAGTGACAAATGCCACCTCCCCTGACACGGAGGCGCGGGAGGAGCCTGCAGGGGTTCAGGATCACATTTCCCATCTCCCTGCTCATTCACTGCTACCACTTGTGATGCCCTGGCTCTCCAGGGACAGATTACCAGGAAGTACGGGAGATTTCTACGAACTTGAAGCATGCCAGCAAGAAAACCCAGGCCCTGTCTCACAAAGCGATCGCTGTTCCTCCCTCTCTTTAAATGCAGGTGTAAAACAAACTTGTTTACCAGCTGCAGGCCTGGCAGCACTAAATCCTCACTGCTCTCAGTGCTAGAATCCAGATAACCCAGTTTGCAATTGGCTTCCCAAGAAGAGCTACTGCAGCTGAGAGCACATCTTAGAGCACATCCAGGCCAGTGACCAAGCTTCTAAGGCAAGAAAGTTGGAAACGTCACTTTCAAGGGTTGCTTTCACTTTAGAGAGTGGAAGTTGTGAAAGTGACATCTTCTTTCCCTACCAGAGATCATTCCATCCCCACCAAGGCCAACGGGATCCAGAAGCAGCCATGAACAGCTCAAGAAAGCTTTTCCCAAGCAGAGTCACCCAATACTGCTGTTATCCATCCCCTCTGGCAGCTCCTCCTTTGGAGCACGTGAACCAGACCCATTAGCAGAAGCCAACTGCTTTCAGCTCCATCAGCAAACACACTGATGCTGCTGTCCTGTGTGGAAAGTACCTTACTGTGATCCCTGTGAGCAGGCAGAGCCTCAGCCCTCCCCACTGCCACCAGTGAGGAGAAAGCCAAGCCTCACTTTGTGCCTTCAAAGGGGCTTTCCCTGTTTGCAGCTCGAGCTGGGGCAGTGAGGAATGAGTTGAGCAGAGCTGGCACAGCCACCGAGGTCTCTGTGGTGCAGATCTTGGTCCATCTCTCCAGAAAGGAGCTTCAACATTATTAGCCTGACTTTCCATGAGTCAGGTACAAAAATGAGTTTCTACTCCAGCACGTACCAGAAATTCCTTAAATGCACCAGCTGCCTCAGGGAAAACAAGAACTTTTCCCCAGTTATGGAATGTGGTGGAGTCTTAGAGAATAGCTAACAGTGACATCTGAGATGCTGCAGTGGGCTAGGGCCAGGACGTGCACCTCCTAAAGAGACCACAAGCCTGCACGGGAGCAAGTCCCTCCTGTCAGCAGGGCTCTGCAGAACCATACTCCTCATGGGCTACACCTTCCGCTCCTTACACATCCCATTCCCCTTCCCATCCCCACACACAGGGCTCGGGCTCAGAGGTCAGGCTCTAACACCCGACCATGAAGGAATCGGCTGCAGCCGTACCACAAAGCAGCCTGCGCATCCCAAGGACCTGTCATTCCAGCAGGATTACAGCTTGGAAGCGCTCAAAACTGCAAAAGCTCCCGTTAAGAGGAGTCACAGTTCAAACGCTGCAGCTTCACACGCAAACCCGGGTGAATCCAGGCTCGGGCAGGTACTGGATGCCATCGGAGGAGCAGAACACAATGTTGTGTGTCACTGCCTGGAATGACCCCCCGGCTGCAGTCACAGCACTGGAGCTGTGCCTCACTCCCGGGTCACGCTCTCCCCTCCTTCCCCCTCACGTTCATCGCTGTGCTCGAGGAGCCTCTGGCCTGTCTGTGGAGGGGAAGCTGAGGGGAAACAGCTCTGCCCAGGCCCTCTGGGGAAGGAGCAAGGAAAAGCTGTCACACGTCACTGAAATGGAATGTGAGGGAACCAAGCAGTAGGGAGGACA